AATTTGAATGTAGAAACTAAGCAAAAGATTACAAAAATAGATGATAATAAGAACTGAGGTTGGTTTTACGCCGCTTTTAGCAATATTCCAGCAACATCACGGCGGGGGACACCAGAAATGGGCTTCACACATTGTACCCATGTGGGGATTCGAACCCGGGTCTTCGGCGTGACGAGCCAACACTTTAACCACTAGGCTACCCCACCGCCCCTAATAATACGAAATTGTCGGCATGACACGGGTTTCATCATTAAGCTGCTCATATGATGTTCATTTTTATCAGGCCATAATCTTACATGATTTGAAAGTGTATTAACTTAAAGGTCACATGAAACAAAAAAATCAAACATAATTAAAACACAATTATCACTTATTCATGACATATAATATACATTGCTGGTTATGAAAAAATATATCAACAAAATTATAAGCGTACAATAGCAAATCAAAAGTGCAATATTTTGTACTTGGGTTTACTTCCCAAGAAACGAAGCAGCCGGGATACCGAGCCCAGTCAGCGCGCTTGGGTGTGCACTCAAGTGTAACGGCTGGTTTATTAGCAGATGCCGCCCTCACGGCTCATTGTGTGTGTATATATAGAGATGTTGGGTTTTGTAAATACTTGCTCATTTTTTGTGTATAACATGTTGCAATCAACATACATCATAACATGTCATGTGTTCAAGTATCACACCTGCCTGTCTGTGTAATTACTTAATGTGACAGAGACCGAACTCGGGCCATAAATCAATGCGTTTTGTTTATGGTGTATAGCCTGATAGGTGTGATGTTCAAATTGCATGTGGTCAGTGATTAAAATTGTGTATTGAATATTGTCATTAGCAGACGGGCAGGCAGACACATAGGTGCCAATAAAACAGACATTGAGTTTTGTCTGTGACAACGACATATCTATATCACAGTTAGAAATTCTGTCGACGCTAAATAATGACATTGCTTTTAAGTATCGAACTGAGAAAGTGACTCGGTAAGAAGAACGTGAGGTGAAATAGACAAATGAAATTATATAAACAGTTAAATCGGTAATCTACTGTAATAACATATAAAAAGCTCGCGCCTGTGAAATATCAACAAAACATTAGAAAAATAGCTCACACCAAAGCCTTCACCGAATATTCACCGGACAACCCGCTTCAAAAGCTCCGCGAACCTATTTCACTGCGCATGTGCTCTGAGGCGCAGCCCAGTTGTTGCAAGTCAGAGAGTGTGATATATTTACAAAATGATCCCGTGAAAATTCACTAGAAAAGTCGGACCAGTGAAGATTTACTGGCCCGACTGGAATTTTACTAGTCACGGACTAGCGGGTCTGGGGCTATTTCGCACAGTGCTTCCATGTCTTCGTTGGTTTTGTGGCTTTTACTTCATCTAAAATATGCTTTCTTCTCCAGGACACAGACCTGACCTGGTACAACACATGGCCTCAGTTCACAGACTGCTTCCAATCCACGGTGTTGGTGTGGGTGCCGTGTGGGTGGCTGTGGCTGACGTCCCCGTTCTACTTCTACTACCTCCTGAACGTCACACCGACATCGCTGTCATCACGATATAAATACATAGCAAAGATGGTAAAGAGTAACCGTACACTGACTCTCCAAATCTTGTGCCTATTGTAAATATATGACTCATCACGAAATAAACAGTGAGCAAAGATAATTAGGTGCAACCGTAGATGACTACCCAATGGTTGTACATTTGTAATCATTTATCCCTGTCCATCAATGTCACATCTGGAGAAATCATGAATGAACTCACACATTGGGCCCATGTGGAGAATCGAACCCAGGTCGTAGGTGTGATGAAAGAACCTTTGGACCACAGGACCAAAACTTTCGCTGAGGGTATTGACTTGTAGTTTATGCCGCTTTCAATAGTATTTTTGTCAAAGCACAGCGGATCAGCTTGATGTGGAAGGAAAACCTAGGGTAATGCTGGATCACAAGCATGGTGCTGATCATACCAACCCTAGAAACAGTCGGGACGACTCCATACAGAGTTTGTCTACCCATCAACAATTTTCTCAGTATCATTCTGTTCTTTCCAGGTCCTTTGTTTCTGTCTTGCCGTTCTCTCCATCACCCAGCTCATCGTTGCTGCCGAGGACGTCAACAGCAACACCTTCAAAGCCTTCATCATCGCACCTGCCGTCCATACAGTGACCTTTGTAAGATTCCACGAATACATTAAATGCTAGTTTGTATCTCATGACACAGTGGATCAATCTTTAAAGTTATATCAAAGATATTTTCTTCGAAAAAATGAATTCTACAGAAATAACTTCCATTTTCGCATATGGCGACCTTTAACTGCATAGCTTGAATTTCTCCAGGTTTTTTCTCCAAGCACGATGGTCTTTCTCAAAACTATAATTTTCGGATAGAGAGGGAAATATATTAACTAGGTTCCTTTTTGACCATCATGTACGTTGAAATCTATAGAGAATATTACAAATAAATAAAGTAATTAACCGAACATTAGTCTTGTTGATAGTTCCACCATCATTCGCCAGCCAAATAGTTACCAGATAAAGAGATATCTTTACAATAACAATGAAGCCAGTGGCTGTTTTAAAACTAAGTGTACCCCGAGCAAGTGCGTTATTTCAGCTGCTTGCGATGCTGCTGCTGCTCCTGGAGAGGAAGAAAGGTCTCATCACTTCCGGAGTGATGTTCACCTTCTGGCTGCTGCTTACTCTGGCCAGCATCATCCCCTTCTACTCCATCATCATACAGGAGGTAAACGGGTTGTAATTTATCACCAGCACCCTGCAGAATGGCGCTCTATTCAGTTTTGATATCACTCAACAATGTCCTGAAACTATGGAATTACCCTTTCAATGCAGACACAGAGTACAGTAGCCAGTTTCCCGGAAATGTTACAAATGATATCAGTGGATAGAAGAAGCATCATTTCACGTATACAAACACTAACTTCAGATGACATTTGCTTTTAAGTTTTACAAAGAGTGCTGAACCTTTGCAAATATGTAAGTATAGTTGTGGCCACCGCGTCTAGTAACAGATGATTGAAGTTTTCCCAAAGTAATACCACTAATGTAATTTACCACAGCTGTTACGGGTAATAAATTGCCCTGACAAAAGGTTTAAAGAGTCCCCTTTGAACCAGCAAAATAGAACACAGACAAGTCTAAAATTATATATTGAACAAACAATGAGCAAACTACACTGAATGACAATACAGATATCTAGTACAATGCAATTGAGTCACAGATCTAAAATATTGGGTCACATATATATATATATATATATTTACTGATTGAAGGTTGTTTACAATGACATATGTTGAATGTGGACGAGTCTTGAAATGTAAGTCAGCTTGACGAAGGCAGACAGATGTACATAAATCCAGTGATATGAAAAGACTGTGTGTTAGTCCCCGCCGCACAACACAACAACCAGCCTTTATATAGCTCTTTCACAGTTCTCGAGCATTCTAGTAAGGTAGGCAGCATCACTATCCACTCAGAACATTAAGCGATTTTCTCGAACATACGACCGGAAGTCAAAACAAAATAAAGCCAAGGGAGGCAACTCTGGAGCGTTATCAAAAAAGGCGTACCGCTAAAAAATACTAGTGCCATTGAACATACATGATGCAAGATGTGAGCCGCAACCCACACTCAAAACTTTAAACATTGTGACCCATAATAACTATCAATTAATCAATGTTATTACAAATTACAAAAAAACACACTCTCGTAACACAGTTAATTAACAAAACCAGTCACATTAACATCACAAAAGTATTGCGAAATCGTTTCACAAACTGTGATTTAAATACTGAAATATGTTTTGTTTTTCAGCAGGATGAAGGCGTACTTACTGTAACATTCTTCATATACGAAGCTCTGGTAATCTCAGAGCTGTTCATGAGCTGTTTGGCTGAGACGCCTTCTGAGGCTTCCAATCAGGACAAGGTATGGCTCTTTCCTTTTGTATTAAAACAACAACACTAATGTCGACAAAAAACCCTTAATAATTTCGAGTATTTTCTCTCCTTTATGCGAATGTTTAATCCCAAGACATATGCCGATGAAACATGGAGATCTGTACTCTGTCAGATCTATAAAATGAAGAACAGTCCCATGTTCCAGCAGGTGCCAGTTTCCCTTTGATATTTCATGGATTAACTCCTCCAAAATACTTAACTGTAACTGTCCTTGCTCACTCACAGAAACCATGTCCTGAACTAGAATCATCCTTCCTCTCAAGAATTACGTTTTGGTGGATGACCAGGTAAACCCATTTAACATTATAAATGACACAGACAGCAATTTAACTACTCATTTATCATTGTGTGTTACCCTTGTTGCTTAAGGAATACATTGCTTGAACAATTAGTAATCGAGCTTTTAAATATGAACATTTATTTATTTTGACAATATGTTTGTAAAACATAGATGAGAGAGTGGATGAGTATGAAAATACACCACTTTGAACAGCAGTCTAGCAACATCAAAGCGTAGAAACCAGAAATGGTCTTCACTCATAGTGCACATAAAGGGAAACAAACACTGGCCTTCGGATTAAGAAGCCAACGCTGCTCAACAAGGACCATCCGCAACTAAGGGACAACAGATAGAGCCGGTGGAGATATTATGAAAGAAGTCACCAAGTCGACGAACAAATGAGAACATATGAGAAACGAATAAATAGTCAATGTTTCATAAGTTTACATTTTGTATACTTCGTACACACATGCTTCCTGTTATTCTATAACCATGGAAGCAAAAATGTCTTTCTGGGTTAAAATCGTGAGTTCAAATCCCGGTTCTCTCTGATTATATGTCTAAGTTTATCGGCACCATACCCATGTTCCTGGCTTTCAAGAAAAAAGTTTGTCTCTCGAACCAATTCTTGGTATCCTCCACAGTGATATGGATCGGGAACTGACCGGTTATTACGTTGACGTAAGCCCACTCACACGTTTGCATCACAGGTTACTGCTCAGAGGCTACCGGAAGTCGTTGACAGAGGCAGACGTCGATGATATTCATCCTTCTTTATGGTCTGCCAGCAATATGCCTGGGTTTCTCTCACAGTGGAACAAACAGACTGGTCATCCAAACAGGTAATCAGCTTTCATTTGTGCATGTTATAGTGTGGAGGCTTGTCCAAATTGCCGCAATTCGCTGTGGACATTTGCCGTGTCGATACCTATCATCATATTTCACAGAAACCCTGATCACGTTTCTGTCATTGAATGTGTGAACACATACCTCAACCAAGTTGGTTCACTGAAGTGGTGAATATCGAAGACCTGCATCACCTCGGATGGTCCCCTACAACCAACACATTCTCCTTATCCCTACAAACATCCAATCAAATCTTCATTTTTAATCGGCCGACACACTATTGATTTAATATTGTTCAAATCAGCGTTAAAACTCATTTATTACCAAGACTACTTACACTACATTTAGACTATGACTGATATTTGATCTTCAAGTCCCAGAAATAAAAATTATGGTGACATCCTTGTTATGTACATATTATATCATTATATTATGCATAATAGTAACACATGCTTCTTGTAAGAAATGGATTACGTGATATGCTGGTTACGACCGCAGTGATATATACTGAGGGAAACAAATAAGGGAACATCACATCATCGAAATACTCCTATATATATGTGCAGATTTTTACCCACAATACAATGCAAAATTTGCAAAGAAACCTGGAAACGAAAAAAGGAACACTTGTGTTCTCTTTTTTGTTTCCCTTAGGATATCTGGAAACTTGTCGGTTATGGCGTTAAACTTAGAAAACAAACGACCAGTACGTAAACCTAATACATCGAGTATCGAAATCCAGAATTAGACAAACCCTCAGATACTATGAAGGGGAATACACATGTGCATAAGCATTAAATGTTTGAATTCTACCGGGTAATATCTACGTTTATATTGTTTCTGTTACAGGACAAATGAGAACAAGAAAGTGTATTATTCAAAAGGACACAATGACTCTCTCCTTTTTGATGCATGTGATGAAACGTCACCTTTGTTGGGAAATAAACATCAAGAGATGAAGCAGACGAAGAAGGCAGCTAATGGAACCACGTTCTCGCTGGTCAGGGCTTTGTGGAAAACATTCTGGTTTGACTTGATACAGTTTCAAGTCTGGGTGCTTGTTAGTGACTTGCTCAGATTTGCCAGTCCTTTGATACTTGGGTAGGTATCCACAAATAGAACTGTTCAGATCTGTCAACTGCAACATAGAAAAGTTCTTTGAACACACCGATCATGAGCCGATTCGCTCTGTTTGAAATGTTTCAGGGCACCTCCACTGACGAACCTTCATTTCATTCTTTTCTTGTACTACATGTAGTGTGTAAGATGTTTATATGCACAGTTATAGAACTCGTGATTCAGCGAAACCGTCCACTATTCTACAAAAGACAGCTCTCACTCCAGGCATATCATATAAAACTATTGCAGGCAAATGTTTTGCTTGTTTAAAGAATATGAAATAATAATTTTGCTTCAGCCTTCTCGTATCCTTCACCACAGACAAGACTGTGCCCCTGTGGAAAGGCTACCTTCTATGTATTGTGCTGTTTGCATCCACGTTGACTCAGACAGTCTTTTCTCATGCTAACTGGCACCAAGGAAAAAAGGTGGCACTCAGGATTGTTGCTGTCATCATATCTGCTATCTTCAGAAAGGTACTATTGCTGCAGTGTGTGATGTAATCAAGATAGAGTTTTGTACTGTTTTACTCTTATATTTAAGCAGAACATTACCTTGTACTCAGCACTCCACAGTTTTGAAAACATATGTTAAATGAAGGACTATCCTATGCACTGATGTCAATGAACCCTAACAAAGCATGAAATAATGCCAAATTCCGAATCTGAGCGTTGTTGAAATCACTTTTTGAAAGCTATTTGAACTTTTGCAAATCAAGTGTTCACCAAAAACATCCCACGGAAACATGTGGTAAAATCCAAATGAGGAACCGAAATCCGACATACTTTCTTCCTGCCACTGATGCCTCAAACGGGAAATGTACTCCATGTGACAATGACAATGACAATTTATTTATTTATTTCGGTACAGTGGCCACATTGCCTAAAGTACATGTAGGATACAGAAATATTGTGCACAGCGGAACAATGTAGATAAGATCAAATTATAGTACTGAAGAAAAGCTATAGTTCATATTGGCAGATTTGTTTTCAGATAAATACTTAAAGATAGTATATGCTCCTCATTAATTGATGATAACAAGTGATAATACTTGACAAGTGATTGGTCTACATGGTCATAAGATGGAATGATCTTCTGACGACTGTCTGCATAATACGGACTAATAAGCAGAAACTGATAGATTTACTCCACGTGTCTCCCTTAAAAATATATCAAGATCCAGAGTATAGAGACAAAATACAACATAGGGTCTTTTTCAGAGCACTTATTGCATGCTCTAGTTGGATTTTATTCATGGGATATACTTCTGTAGTTGGTTAATAAATTTCATTTCTCACTGAAAATCAAGATGTAACCATGACAACGCTGGCAATTTCAGCAGCCCCAGGGATTTATAACTCCTGTCTTGTTTACTATTCATATTGCGCAAACTAGCTATGCACATAACAATATGATTCGGTTCTATGAACAATTTTCAGTCCTTAAAGATGAGCAACAAGGCAAAGAAAGAGTCGACAACAGGAGAAATTGTGAACTTGATGTCTGTAGACGTGGAGCATATACAAACCATCACGGTTTGGATCTGGGCAGTGTGGGCTATTCCTTTGAATGTCGCCATTGCCCTGTACCTCCTGTATCAGTCTCTGGGAGCATCCATGTTCGCTGGGATGGCGGTGTTGCTTGTGTTGTTGCCCGTCAACGTTGTCGCCGTGTTCATGCTGAGGAAGTATCAGGCTGAACTGATGCAATACAAGGACAAGAGGATGAAGATAATGAATGAAGTCCTCAATGGCATTAAGGTAAGGTGATGTTCCTCCGTGAAAAGCAGTCTTATTTTTTGTTTAGATGTGAAGATTGGGATATAATCAAATCTTTATAAATGAGTACATAACTTCTGGCCACCCCCATCCCAAGCGGCCCCCACCCCCTCTACCACCTTGGGTACAGTGTGGGCAAATTTGGCTGACATAATGGGATGCTGTGGGTTGCAATCACGTACAATAGCGGCACCAACCTGATTCATGTTGATGAACATAAAGGCGGAACTATCGGAAATAGTAGAGAACACCAAACGCCGTATTAGCAATTTTGGATCTACCGACTCAAGTAAAAGTCGAAGTCGAAGTAATCGTCTGTCAACCGACACTGACAATTTCAGTCTGATGGTAGTGTCTGTGAACAGACACATGTACAGTCAGCCCGTTAGTAGTAATCTTTTGTAAAGATACACATGTAAAGTCAGCCTGTTTCAGTAATCTCCTGTAAATACGCACTTGTAAAGTCTTTTGTGAACACATGTATTCACCTTGCTCTTGTTGTCACAGATACTGAAGTTGTATGCCTGGGAACCGTCCTTCCAGGAAAAAGTTTTGGAGGTTCGGGATAAGGAATTGCGCATTTTGATGAAGATGGCTTTCCTTAAGAGTTTTAACACCTTCACCTGGACTCTTATTCCTTATCTTGTAAGTCACATTTTGTCCACAAATCCACCCCTGCTGGAACGCCAGACAAACATTATTCTGTGTAAAATAGTTGCAACAAAACTATCAGTTAGATTCATGGTTCACTTTAATCGAATATCATGTTTGAGGTGAAATGAACAAACACGCTTATTACAGGGCACATTCAAATTTAACTGCTGCAAAACTGTTCGAAAGTCAGAATCTAGTTCGAAAATATTTTAAGAGTCATTTGCATGTGTCATTAATCTATACACATGATTTGGAAACTGACAAAGACTAGCGGCATAATCACATGGGTTTTCTATGTCTGAGTGACACATATGCAATATGTGAAGCCCCTTTCTGGTTTCCCCCGCCGTGATATTGCTGGAATATTGCTAAAAGCGCCGTAAAACCATACTCACTCACTCACTATGTCTGAGTCTACATTTCTTGGTGTTATGTACACAATTGTTTTGGTTTTGTTTATTTTTTTAAAACAAATACTTTAAAAACTTTTTCACGGCCATCAGACTGAAAAATGCTAGAGTACCCCAAGGAAGACTTTTCTAACAAAGAGCCCATGGTAAAGCAGATCATTATATCCTGCAGGTATCTCTAACTACATTTGTGACATACATCTTCACTTCTGATGACCACTACCTCCGACCTGAGGTCGTCTTCCCGGCGATCTCTCTCTTCAGTATCATCAGACTTGCTATTGTCAGATCACCATCTGTCATCGCATATTTAGTCCAGGTAGTTGAGCAAAATAAAACTAAAAACAGCAAGAAATGTTTCTTTGTACACTAACAATGAACACATGGTGGAACCTTATCAAAACTATCAGTAGCGTTCTTTTTCCGAAGATCACAGGGCAAAGATGTTTGTTTGGATCTTTGGCCTTTGAAGAGAACATATGGAGCCATTTCTCACGCATGTTAATAATTGATACCACAGAAAACGTTGTAAGCGACATTTTCGTTGCTTTGTTAAAACTTTACTTAGCCATTTCAAAAACATTTTCCCTGGTTTAACTCCAAAATCTCATGGATCAAAAACCGGTACGCTCAATATCATTCCAGGGGTACATTTGTGAGTCTTTCTCTAGATCAAGGACTACTAAAAAACACAACGGTTTTGACAAATTCAAGTTTTGACTTGAACTGTACATCTGTGCAATGTTCCGACACTTTCATTGGGATGACCAACAGAAGCCTCTTACTCATTAGGTGTAATACTGATGAGTAATATGGATTAACACTAATGTACATTTACACATCATAATATACATGGCCAATGTTATGCGTTTTCAGGCTACAGTATCCCTGAAGAGAATTAACAAGTACCTCAACAGAGAAGATTTGTCTGAAACCGACGTCTTATGGAACGCCACACAACGTCAGTAAGGTTTACCGTCTCCAGACATTCAATACTATAATGATTGATCGAGTAAATGAGTGCCGACGTTCTAGCTTAATGCGTTAATGTATTGGTGCTGACAAACCAAGTAAAGTAACAGTGTAACTCGACACCACAATCATTGGATTCTGGTGTGTCCAAGAAACATAACTCTGCACACCGAATAGCCGCGTCTTAGACAAGTGGCCTCCCAATGTGTGCGTGTGTGTGGTCATTGTAACCTGTCTATCAGAGTTATGGTGCAAAGAACTATACTGAACAGCAAAAATACGCAACTCTTGTTTTTCGGCAAGTTTTTTAATAGAAGGCATAAATATGAACGCTTACTTTTATGAAATTTCATTTTTTCGAAAATTTCGTTTCTTTTGCTGTTCAGTATATAAAGAACTGTATGCGTTGGGTTGCATATTTTCGTCAACTTTGATGTAAGCGTTATGTTCAATATTGCCATTACAAAAAGACTATTCCCATATTTATGCAATTATTACCTCCAATAAAATATAATCACAGCAAAGAAAAAATCATTCCAGGAGACAAAACCAAGTTTCCATACAAATGGGCCCACCTACAAATTTAGATTGATGCAAACCAAATCAATGTTTGATCAATTCTTACTCTCCTCTCTCTCCACTTTCTTACTTTCCTATATTCCTATATCCTTTTCTTTGTATTTTATTCATACATCCATTAAACTTATGTCCTTTCTTATTTAGTTCGAATAATGAATGTATGTATGTATGTATGTTCAGTATTATCGAACTGTATGAATATTGTATTATTTGCTGTCGTAATAAAGAAAAGAAAAAAGAGAAGAAAGAAAAGTTCATCTAATTCGTCAAACGTTAGACAGTATACAGATAATGGAAGTTGATCAATATTACTTGACCTATTACACGTATATACTGTAGGTCCAGCGGTGAAGATTACAAACGGATGTTTCCAGTGGAATTCTGAAGCAGCACCAACACTCACAAAGTAAATCAACATTGTATGTTATCCACTTACGACATTGATAAAAAATGTGTAAAGATATAAATTTAAGATCTAAACGATGCCTACTAGTTCTGATATCATGTCAGTCATGAACGATCACGATCTAAAACATTTTGTTGTTTCAGCGTCAGTTTGGATGTTACCGAGGGTCAGCTTTTGGCAATTGTGGGTCAAGTCGGATCTGGAAAATCCTCACTTGTGTCTGCCATCTTGGGGGAAATGGACAAGCTCTACGGTCATGTCAGTTTGAAGGTCGTTAATAACTTCCTATCATTTTACAAGTACTATGCTACAGTTAGAAAATGTTCTTAACATATGTATTTTGAAATATATATATATTATCCTTCTTTCTTGATTTATCCTGATCAGAGTCACATTGCCTACGTGCCCCAAGTTGCGTGGATCCAGAACGACACCCTGCAGAACAACATTCTGTTCGGGAAGCCCATGGACAGACATTGGTACAACAATGTAGTGGAGTGTTGCGCTCTGACTCCAGATCTGGAGATGTTACCAGCTGGCGATATGACAGAGATAGGGGAGAGAGTGAGTACTGACAGAGATTCTCTGGCAAACGCTGCACATAATAGGAATGTGTCTTTCGTATTGCATGTTTTTTTGTTTCGACATCATGCAATGATTTTGACAGAAGAACAGAAACATAGACTGTCTCCATCCAGGACAGTGTACAGCATTGTGTCTTGTGTATTGCATTCCTATCTTGTTACCGGTGTATCAGTTTAAGCGGAGGACGGAAGCAGAGTGTGTCTCTAGCCAAAGCTGTCCATAACCTTGAGTCTGGTGTATTGCATTTGTTTCCTATCTTGTCATCAGGGTATCAACTTGAGTGGCGGACAGAAACAGAGAGTCTCACTAGCCAGAGCTGTCTACAACGATGCTGACATATATCTGCTGGATGATCCACTCAGTGCCGTTGACAGTCATGTGGGGAAACATATCTTTGACAAGGTCATCAGTAGCGAAGGTTTGCTCGCTAGCAAGGCAAGCACTCTTAGAATATATATGACGTTTAAGTTCCATGTATTTGCGCATACATTCAGATATATATTAAAATTTCCAACTAATTTTGAGGATAATTATGGGCGCCTAATGCTCCTAAAAACTATCCATACTCCAGTTTTGTTCTTGGTGTTAGCTATTGTGCGGTTGAGGAATGGTGCTGAAAACAACGTGAAGTTAAATTCATTCCTCAGTCATAACGATCTGCTATAATGTTTGATGTCAAAATGACTCTCACCTGTCCCATCCAGACTCGTGTCCTGGTCACTCACGGCATCCACTGGCTCCCAGAGGTGGACTCCATCCTTGTGATGACCAGTGGTCAGATATCAGAGAAAGGGACGTATGAGGAGCTTCTGCAGTCTAACGGGCCATTTTCCAAGTTCCTACAGACTTACCTGACAGAGAATAATGATTTGGATGACAGTCAAATTGAAAGTATGTCCCATTCTCCGCGAACATATTCATTCATATTCAAGAAACACTCATTTATTCTATTCAAAATGTAATTCCCATTCTTACATTATGTTTTAACAAATAGACAGGGCATGCCTAAGGCAGAGCGATCCGCTGAGATGGGTTACGCATAGATCCAATGATCTTTGGTCAGAATCCCAGATTCGACTTGATGATACATGTTTGATGGTTTCCTCGAGGTTGTAAATTCTAATTCAGACACAGTTCCTCCATTCTGATTTACCATTTCATACGACACTAAAACACCTGGTGTCATCACGTATTTTTAGTGCTGCGGTCATGTAATTGTCACCTCTTTTTGTCTCCTTACGCATGTGACGGTAGGGTAGCCTAGTGGTTAAAGCGTTTGCTCGTCACCCTGAAGACGATTCCGAAGGTTCGATTCCACACATCTGTACAATGTGTGAAGCCCATTTCTGGTGTCCGCCACCGTGATATTGCTGGATATTGCTGAAAGAGGCGTAAAACTATAGTCACTCACTCACCCATATTTACGCAAAAGGTTTGGCTGTTCTTGTTCTCTGAGTTGACATTTAGAATAATCAGTAGTTCATGTAATGATCGGTTATGTATACAAGATACTTTCATGAACATGTATAAGGGCGAAGTTTCATTGTCTAATTCTTAAATCATTTTGTATACAGTGAGCAAAATAGAAAGCAAGTTCTTCAACGCTTAGAGTCGGCTAAATCAAGTGGAGAGAGGAAAGCAGACATCAAACCTGTCCTGTAAGTTTATAATGTATCTGAATACAACTCGAACATTCATTGGACTTTCTCTGTGAGCTAAAATAACTAACTAACAGAAAGAATTCCTTGCAAAGTTCTAATATCATGGTGACATTTTATTCCTGTCGATGGTGGTATGTGTTATTCAAAGGTAAGCCGTCCTTTGTCCTTTAAGGAAAGAATATTTCTTCCTTGGAGTCTCCATACTAAAATGTTATTCCTTCTTTGTTTCTATACAAATATGTTAAACTATTCTTTCTAATTTCACATGAGAATTTGTTTTTCGTATGAACAGATTTTCCTTCTATGAAAATATGTTCTTCATTCAAAATTTACAGCATCGTTCATACATATAGATCTAAGCCCCAAACCAATGAGACCAGACAGTTCCAAGTCAAAGAAGAAGAATTGAAAAAGGAGAAGAGGAAACTGGTTGAAGAAGAGGTTGTAGAGTCTGGCAAGGTATTTGACCTTCTATGAACGATATTGATTTTGAATGTTGAAATATAACCAAAAGGAAATAATCCCCAAACGATTTTTTATGTTTTAACGTCGAATGTAAAAGGCATTTACTACAGCCTGAAACAGTGTAATATGAGGATAATGTGAAATCTTTTAAGCAATTGTTTTAGTAGAACATTCAGGATAGGTAGAACATTCATTGTAGATCTACCATTGTGTCGAGGTTGAGGAAACCAACGTAAATACTTTGAGTTATCCAATCACATAATGGTGACTAAATGCTGAATACTCAGGGACTAAGCTTTTTCATAGTTCACATCATAATACTGTTTGTCTGTATGACTATTTTGACCCTTCGGGAGTTTAGATATGCACGTGAGATGAAAGGTACCAGCCATTGAGCAAATACATGTATCAAGTTGAAGTTCGATAACTTGGAGTGAGTTAGTGAGTGAGTTTGGTTTTACGCCGCTTGTAGCAATATTCCAGCAATATTACGGCGGGGGACACCAGAAATGAGCTTCACACAAATATCGGCGTGACGAGCGAACGCTTTAACCACTAGGCTACCCCACCGCCCCTCGATAACTTGGAATATCCATTGATTTCACATGCTCAAAGATTGGTATACAGAATGCTGGCATGCCACTGAGGGCTGTCACAAGAAATGTTGACTGACATGTGATCTGAATATATGGCAATGGTTACCAGCTTTTAAAAATGTGTCAAATGTTAGCCATGTTTGCTTCTCTTTATCAACTAGTTTTTAGGGCGGTTTTGCGGTTAGATTTGCCATGTAATTATTAACTGGGGGTCAATCTTTCCAGACAGTAATTTGAATTGAAGTCCTTTGCTTTGGTTACTAGTTAGATATTGAGAACATGAACAATATCTGGTGTCATACCTTTTCTAATGTGTGTACTTTCAATAGCCATGTTTTCTAACATCAAACGAAGGAATTACACAATAAAGGGAAGTATAAGATGTCATTATTGTTCTTTCAGGTTACTATGAAAGTATTTCTAACCTACTTCCGGGCTATTGGGTTATTGCCGATGTTGATCGCGATGGTTATGTACGCATTATTTCAAGCAACGTCTGTAACGTCAACTACGTGGCTCAGCAAATGGACTGACGACACTTCGCTAGGAAACCTGACAACGCTGCCTTCCAACAGCACAGCCCGAATTGAGAAAAATGAATATTACATTGGAATATATGGTGCTTTGGGTCTAGTTCAAAGTAAGAATTGAAAGACAACAAATATGCCTTAGTAAAATAATTCAAGACCTATGTACCTTATATGCTTGGTTAAAAAATACATGATCTACGAACCAGTATGTGTTTATTCAGTTTTGTGTTGGGCACATTACTTGTTATGGCATCAGCAGAGTTGCGTTTCTTAGTTGTTCCAGGATACGTTAGTTTTGGGGTTTGAATATCAAAATTTCCATTGACTGGTCCTAGTTCCGTCAAATAATGGCTGGAAATCATTGGCGTTACAAAAAGACGCCAATGAAGAAACCAGATACTTATTTTAGCTGCACTCAAAACCAGATTTTATAAGGAAATATGTGAATTATTGAGCCATGTACATATATGCATGTTTTTTGAAAATGTATACATGTGTTCCTAAAATGCAAGGACACACACACACACACACACACACACACACACACACACACACACACACACACACACACACACACACACACACACACACACACACGCACACACACACACACACACACACACACCGAAAACACCTTGCGGCAGCAATATTTATTTGCAGGGCGGTGTGAATAGCGCATAATTGTTTCATTCGAACATTTTCTGGAACAATCCTATCTTTCAATAAAACCATAAGGTCACACCAGCATATCAAGTAGCGCACTATGGCGTGTGTTATAACTAAATACATGCTTTTCAATTTCCAGCTACGTTCATCATGGTATTTTCCTTTCTATGGAACCTAAGGACGGTAAAGGCATCTGGTACACTCCACTCGAACATGCTGAAGAATGTTCTGAGGGCACCGATGTCCTTCTTTGACACCACGCCTACGGGCAGGATTGTCAATCGGTTCTCCCAGGATATGGATACAATCGACACCAGAATGCCCATCGCGGTGGAATATTCCTTCAACACCACGTTCCAAGTCTTCAGCAGCATCATCATTATTTCTTACACCACCCCTATATTTCTCGTCGTCGTCGTTCCCTTAGTGGTACTATACTTCCTTGTACAGGTGAGCAGTAACATTAATTCTGTAAACCTTCAAAGAGTAAGATAAGAAAGGAAATTTTAAGCATTAGCAAATCGTTACCAAAACTACGTTCTATGAGCTGTTTCAATCCACCTGCCGTTAAAAAAATCAGCCAGAGTTAAGACTTGCTCATCTTCAAATATACTGAGGGAAACAAATAAGGGAACACCACTTCATGGCAATGTTCCTTTTATTTATTCTCAGATTTTCCCCCACAGCGCTATTCAAAGCTGGTGATGAAAATTGGAAAATATTAAAGGAACGCTTGAATTTTCCTGTGTTCCTTTGTTTGGTTCTCTCAGTATATTTATGTAATGCTTCATGAAGCATTTAATTTTAAATCATTTTGATACATATTTTATGAATAAAAACAGTTTTGTTAGTCTCAAACATGCAGAAGAAAACATAGTTATTATCCATTGGAACCTTGTTGATAACTGTAATAGTGATTTCTAATGATCTTGCTATTTTCTTAAACTTTGTAGATATATAGTTGGCCAGAAAGAATCCGTTTCATCACGTGTCCTTTAGTGACAATCCGTTCTCATTTCCTCAATTATTGCTTTGTTTTCACACTTAGAAAGCCATGTGGGAACTGTAGACTGTATGCCTGATATCGAGTAACTGGTCTATGCAGCGAACATTGTTTTCTGTACACGAAATATATATTAAAATTTAGCGTGTCAGTTCTTAACTGACATCAGGAAGGACATACAGACTACACGTGAGTGGGACTTATAGTGACATCGGCAATATTCCAGCTATATCGTGACTAATACAAGCTACTGCTCCTGTAATGCTACACAGTGTGTACACGTCTATTGCAAATCATATTTCCAGAGGCAGTAACTAATTTCTTTTTCACATCATGGAATTAATTTTGCCAAGACATAGCACTGGACAAGAATCTGTTAACTCAGTACTGGTGTCCGCAATGACATTTGTCAACAATTTGCTGTTAACATTCACCTCTCATTCGTGGTGTTATTGTCCTCCTAAGGATCATTCATTGAATGAATGTTTTGCAAGTATAGCGACGTCATGTGGAAACCTTGTTTAATTCCGTAGCGTTTCTACGTGACAACATCTCGCCAACTGAAGAGATTGGAAGCCAAAAATCGCTCTCCGATATACAGCCATTTTGGGGAGACCTTATCAGGAGCCAGTGTTATCAGATCGTTCCAAGCCCAGTCGAGGTTCATCAAGGAATCTGAGGACCGAGTAGATGCAAAGCAGAAGTTCACCTTTTACTCATTTTGTGCTCTCAGGTAATTTTGATGTCATGATGATCAAGTTTGAAAGGTGCTTATATGCAACAACATAAGTTTACCTATGCACTGGATGCCCCCAAAACCTATCAAAATTATAACCTATTTTATAGGCAGTTAGACATTGGAGCAGTAACGAAGTATAGCATTATATGGATGAACAACTTCTTTATTTCAGTGAAAGTATTCATCCATATATTGTTATCCTACCTTAATGAAAAATGATTTGCAATTTTGGCCTATCAAATATCTTTACATCTTTGATTCCTGATGTTGTCCAATGCAACATGCTTTCGTCCTTCAAATTCCGCAATAACAAGTTGTATACACAGTAATAAATTAATCTCGCAACTGCAGTGCAATGCGCCTAGCCTCAAGCTCTTTCAGTGGAAACGTTATAAAGAGTGTAATAGCCTTGAGGTGTTGACGTGTCAGTCGGCGACGTGTATTCGAGCATGTTCCGAAGGGCTTCCCAGCACATGAACACAATATTATGTACTCAGTCGAAATTCAACCCTCAAACAAAAGTATGTTTCTTGTGGAAAGTAGAGCACTATTACCTGTCATCACTTGCAAGGCAGATATATATTTAACAACCTCAACACTGATAAGATTATATCTTACAAATGACCTCTATTGTAACTCTGACCTTACAGAATGATCACATACGATCCGGGCCCTATCCTGTCCTATTTACTACTATACATCCTTCTTGCATTATCGTGAATATAATGCATCGTAGATTGTATATTACCTTGAGAATGAATTTGACCTTCAGTAACAGTTACAAGTATGTAAAGAATATTACAAGAAGCCCTGCCGGTATATGTGTCCTTGGTTGGAAACTCTGTAATTATTGAAAGTACATGCAGATCAAACTGGAAACGTCATGCAGGAGACCTTAAATGATGGTGCTTGATGTTGCCCTGCCTGACGCTCGGCATTGATGAGATAAAAAGGATTGGTCGGCTTGGGGGAATATGATGTGTCTGAGTGTGGTAAGCCTGTTAAAACTGCTACCTCACCTCACCTCACCTCACCTCACCCTCACCTCACCCTCACCTCACCTCACCTCATTGAAATGACGCGCTATCATGGATAACTGAAGTAAAACGTTCAGAAATGGTAAAACCAGTCTACATACTCAGTGTGTGTATCTGACAGATGGCAAGGTGTGCGTCTGGAAGTCTTCGGGAACATCATCGTTCTGGCCGCCTCCCTGTTTGCCGTCATGTCACGTGACACCTTGTCAGGAGGACTTGTAGGCTTGTCGGTCTCCTATGCTATTGAGGTATGTACAGTTTTAACGGTTATAAAGGAACAATAATTTTAGTTTATTTTAGTCGCAGTTCGTTTTACGCATTTCAACTAAAACATATATCAAGTGTCAGCGAAACGACCCAGTTCGTTGTATCCATAAGTTCGTTATAAGTGGACCGCCTCCGTGGTGTAGTGGTTAGAGCATCCACCCGGTGAGCGGAAGGTCGCGGGTCATACCAAAAGACGTTAAAATATGGTACTTGTTGGTCCCTGCCTGGCGCTCGGCATTAATGGGTACAACAAGGACTGGTCGGCTCGGAGTCAGTATAATGTGTCTGAGTGGGCTGCGGCATGGTATCTCAGTGGGCTAGCACTATAAAACCAGCTTAAGTCTGGGCTAGTACAAGCAGCCGCACATACACACACACACGCATGCACGTCGTCATATGAGCGAAATATTCTCAAGCACGACGTTAAATCCAATTTCCCCTCACCTCACCTCGTTATAAGTGTGTTCGTTACACAACCTGTGTGGCCCGTGTTTGTTCTTGTAATTATGAGCTCTTGATGTAAAGATTCTTTCATTCTAACAAGTGCCACACACACCTGATATGGCCACTATTGCCGGAATGATTGGCATACTCTCGGTTCCTGCTTTGGCAATTTTTATTGACAGCCTTTGTCTTTCAAATTGTATGTACTGAGTCATGCATCTTTGCCGTGTGTACAATCATTTCAGATAACCGCTAACCTCAGCTGGATGGTGCAGCTGGTGTCAGAAGTAGAGACACAGATCGTCATGGTGGAGAGGGTCAAGCAGTACACTGAAATACATTCAGAGGTAAACATACCTAAAACGTTAATATCAATGGAGATGTACGTTGGTGATACCTTTTATCATAAACATTAGCATTATATTTCACCCGTTCAAACGTTATATGATCTTCATATGCTTGCCTATATTCTGTAACATAGATGCCAGTGTTTGATACAAAGGTTTATACAATACCAGCCAGCATGGGACATGCCCGAGAGACGTCCAACTCATGACTGGCCAGACGCGGGGGTGGTGAAGTTCCTTGACTACTCAACGCGATATAGAGAAGGCCTTGACCTTGTTCTCAAGGGAGTAACGTGTACAGTGCATTCAAGAGAGAAGGTAAATGAAGAAAGTACTGACATATCATATGTCATTTTCCATAGGGACTATGTTTGATTATTAAAATTAGAGTACTTAAATGAAAGTATTACATATAAAGAAAATCATTGGTTTGGGTGTAAGAATATCTCGGAGCCATCTATGAGTTATCCCCGACTACTACATTTTGATTTCCAAATTAATACATTACGCATTCCCAGCTGTGACATTGGATGACATGTATATATTGCACCACCAAACATTGTATCAAGACTTAAACACGCGTTTGACCGTTACTTGTACTGGTGCCATCCAGGTGGGCATCGTGGGCAGGACGGGGGCTGGGAAGTCCTCTCTGACTCTGTCCCTGTTCCGGCTGATAGAAGCTGCAGGAGGAGAGATCAACATAGATGGCGTTGACATCAGTACACTCGGGCTGCATGACCTCAGGAGCAAACTCACCATACTACCTCAGGTAGGCCTGCATGACCCCAGGAACAAACCCACCGTACTCCCTCGGGTATGTCTGCATGACCTCAGGAACAAACTCACTATACTACCTCAGGTAGGCCTGTATGACCTCAGGAACAAACTCACCATACTACCTCAGGTAAGTCTGCATGACCTCAGGAACAAACTCACCATACTACCTCAGGTAGATCTGTATGACCTCAGGAGCAAACTCACTATACTACCTCAGGTAGGCCTGTATGACCTCAGGAACAAACTCACCATACTACCTCAGGTATATGTTCCTGTTATCAACATCTACGTCAAGGGTGTTATCATTTCAAATGATACAGTTTGGAATAATAAATAAACTACTGTGGACAGTTGAAAAAATAATATGAAGAAATGCTGTAAAATTCTCTTGTAGGATCCTGTATTATTTGCCAGAAGCCTGCGAGGCAATGTTGACCCCTTCACCCAGTATTCAGACAATCAGATCTGGCGGGCGCTGGAACAGGCTCATCTGAAGACGTTCGTGGAGGTACTTCCTGATGGACTGGAACACGAGTGTAGCGAAGGAGGGGAAAATATGAGGTACTAATTGATGACAATGATTGTTGTAATTTACGTCATTATCTCCGCAAATATCAATTCTTTACATTATTTTTGTGTTTCACTGCTAAATATAAATATATCTTACGCAATCAATAATGCTTTAACTGCCAGCGTGTAGCTTAACGTTCTGCCATATTTCAGTGTTGGTCAGCGGCAGCTCTTGTGTCTGGCCAGAGCTCTCCTGAAGAAGACCAGGATCCTAGTACTGGATGAGGCTACAGCAGCCGTTGACATGGAAACAGATGACCTGATCCAGCAGACCATCAGGTCAGAGTTCAAGGACTGCACGGTGCTGACCATCGCCCACAGACTCAACACAGTCATGGACTACGACAGGTTTCTTTTCGTGTTCTTCTTACACATCATTTAAGTATTTCAGATTACACGTTTGCACCTGTGATCTTTTGTAAACCCGTGTCACAATGTCATATTCGGGTAAGTAATACGCAATAGCCGATCGATTTTCCCAATAGCAATCACCAGATTGACAATGTTTAGGTCGCCGTCGTAGAACTGGAATATCGCTTAGTATAAGTGACCACAAATATACACACAAAAATGGTATTGTCATATGAACTTCCATTACTGATGAAACGTAACATATATATTTTAGGATCCTGGTCTTGGACAACGGCCGTGTGTGTGAGTTTGACACACCCTCCATCCTGTTGCGACAACACGACAGTATCTTCTACAACATGGCCAAAGCTGCTGGGTTAACAACATAATACAAAACAATTTCACAAACTACTTACGCAACTAGATGATAAACAGCCCAACAATATGTATGATAAGATAAATTGTGAGTGAGTGAGTGAGTTAATATTTATCGTCACATCGGCAATATTTCAGCCATGTCGTGACGACATTTTATGATTATATTAAAGATGAATAAAGTTAGAAATTAAAAAACCTGTTGACGAAGAACTGTAAAACTACTAGTGTATCACAGATATACATTTAAAACTAGCAATTAAATCTAAAATATTGGAACTATAAATGACAATACAATATAAAAACAGGCTGTAGATTGCTAACGACTGAAGGTAGATTACCATACTAGGGACCATGGGGACTTACAGTACATTTGCTTCCTGCATGGACCCTAGATGGATAGATAAATTGTGTGCCTTCGTCCACTTGATATGACTCGCTCATGCATTCAACCACATGTTTGCTGGACCCAGACTCCTTGTACGTCCCGTAATCCCAAATTGCGTTACAGCTAGGATAATTGTGTCTAAAACTTAACTTGACTTAAATGTATCAATGACTGCGCGTGTACAAACGGACACAATGGCACGCCTTTAAAATGGCCTGTGGGGTCAGAAATTATCTTCGACCTGACGAAGCAGGATAAGGGTCAATTTTGACGTCAAGAGAACGCAATTCGATCAGCAGAGTTGGAACCCCAAGGCGCGCCAAGATACAGGTTCGCCTTGATTGTGTTCTGAGTTTTTCCAGTACCATAGTCGTGCTTGTGGTTTTCACCAAAGAGGTACACTTCTGGGACGTGCATTACTTTTTGCGCTCATCTCACATTAAGCTGAAACGTCGTCAAATATCTGGGACATTCTTCAAAGCTGCGTTGAACCAAACTGACTCACTACCTCACTCGATAATGAAATGTATACTCAGACACCTCATAATATACCTGGAATTCTGTTCAAATTGATAATTAACTCAGCGCCATACCTGGCCGACAATGTCAAGTATCTGTACTGCATACATGATCTTAGATTACACATGACACAATTGAGAGCAGAGGGAATTGAAGCATCCATGATACAGGATAAGTTTGTTTCGTCTTTATCAATAACTCGTGAGAAAATCTGAACCCTACCTGGCATTGTGTTGTTACAAGAGCTAAACATATAGCTCCTGATTGAGTAAATATGGTTTTACGCCCCTTTTGGAAATATTCCAGCAATATCACGATGGGGAACACCACAAAGGGCTGCTCACATTGCCTCCATATGGGGACTCGAACCTGGGTCTTCGGAGTGACGAGTCAACTCTTCAACGACTGGACTACCTCAGTGCCTCTATAACAGTTGAGAATGAACTGTGTCCAATTATTTTACAGGCTTTCCTAGTCTCTTAATTAAGTTATATACGTCCCTTGGGGTCCTTTTCATACATTGTCCTTTACTACGTTGAGTTAACTGTGGACATCCCCTTATCATCGCAGGGTACATAATGATATGTAAAATTATATGTGTTGAAAAATGTATTTTTTTAATTTTGTAGTCATCGTTTGCAGATCCAGCGGGGGAGGTGTTCATGCCATTTCAATAAGAAAACATGAACGACAATATTGAAGCGTTATTTCTATCGAAGTCCAATGTGTCACTTGTTACATTTAAGTCTTTTCCTGTTTAAATTATACAACGTGGAGACAGTTGTTTTCTTCATAGACTTACAGTCCGTTTGAGACGGAATGATACCGATAAATTGCAATCTAACACAAAAACAAATCGACATAAAAGAATAAAATCAACGTGGACTGCAATAAGAACAACAGACCAACTCTAGAAAAAAATTGGATACTTTTTGTCACAAAAATAAAAAAGTTGTTTAAGAAACTGTCATCATGTATTTGTGCGTTTTCCAAGTTTGTTACACGGGCGCAGTGGCAACTAAAGGAACAGCGCGAAAAGCGAGACCAATGAACGCTTTAACCACTAGGCCACCCAACCACCCCAGTAATTGTACAAGTGACTCTGCATTTTGCAGATATTTATTTTACATATGGAAATGGTTTGCATTTTTTTTAAGTATACCTCAAGAACCTTAACAAGGACATCCTATTGTGTTGTAATGCGATATCAAGTGTGTCATCCTTTTTGGCAACTATCCTGGCTTGCCAAGACCAAAGGCTATCACTGAACATTCGCATTCCACAGCAACGACTTCACACCTTGTGCCTGTGAAGATCCGGGTTAGAATTGATCTTCAGTAACCCATGCTTAGAGGTCGTAAGCGGCGACTAACGGGATCGGATGGTCAGGCTCGCTGACTTGGTTTTACACATGTCATCGGTTCCCAATTGCGTAGATCGATGCTCATGCTGTTGATCACTGGATTATCTGGTCCCGACTCGATTATTTACAGACCGCTACCATATGGCTGGAATATTGCTGAGTGCAGCGTTTTATAAGCATCATATCAGTTCTCGAAATAGGTAAACTTGGGTGCTCGGGATTTCTTGGAGCTCCTGATTTTGCCACAAGCTGATAGAACTGCTCACATTTTTCAAAACTGGCAGTGTCAGTTGTCACGGAAACATGACACCATCTACACCAGCAAGACGTTATGACGTCTATGCAGTTTACAGTAACGATAAAGGTTTCAATTAACACAATTTTCGGATTTGTGGGTGTAAATGAGTATTAATGCCCAGACGTTAGGACGTTTTACAACTCCGTTTTACGCCGTCATTCTGAAATGAAATACATAACACAGAACTATTTCCGTGTCTTTAGCCCCTTGAATAATTCCGTGTCATAGCTTTCTCATTCATGCAGTGAAACAGCATGATATGCATAAAAACATTGCATCGTTTCAACTATTGCCCACTTGGAAATTGCACATGGTATTCTAAAAGGTATCTTACTTCAGCCTCCCGTGAAGAATGGATCTTCAGTAACCCATGCTTGTCGTAAGAGGCGACTAACGGGATTGAGTAGTCAGGCTCGCTGACTTGGTTGACACATGTCATTGTATCCCAATTGCGTAGATCGATGCTCATGCTGTTGATCACTGGATTGTCTGGTCCAGACTCGATTATTTACAGACCGCCGCCATACAACTGGAATATTGCTGAGTGCGGTGTAGAACTAAACTCACTCACTCACTCATATTTCAGCTGTTTGCTATGCTGCTGCTGCTCCGGGAGAGGAAGAAATGCCTCATCACTTCCGGGGTGATGTTTACCTTCTGGCTGCTGCTCACTCTGGTTGACTTCATCCCCTTCTACTCCATCATCATCATACAGAATTATGACAATATTTCAGAACTTATTGAAGTATCCCAGGCAACCATAGGACAATCGTCAAGTAAAGATAAACATTCTTCGCCGATGTTTGGTGGAATGATAAATGTGACAAGCCTACATTTGGGTTTGCCATTGTTTCCCAGTGACCCGGATGCTCTGGTTGGAGTAACGACAATCACTATAGATAGCCTCGTTCATTTTGTCCAGAGTGATTGAATGAGTGTGCATGGTTTTACGCGGCTTTTATCAATATTCCACCAACGTCACGGCGGGGGACAACGGAAATAGGTTGCACACATTGTACCCATGTGGGGAACTGAACCCGGTTTTTTGTCGTGACGAGCGAACGCTTTAAGTTCTAGGCTACCTCACCACCCTTTGACCGGAGCTAATACACCATCAAAAGGGGTGCTAATGCACCATCTGGGTTATTGCTTATAAAGCATTAACACTATCAAGTGTTTGCAAATATGCACTTGTGCCTTTGCAACTACCCCAGTTTCAGCTCTCCGGGTCGAACGTTTAGAAATGCTTCGTGAACTCCTCTAAAATATTTTCCAGCATATTCCAGGAAATGATGTTGTAAAAGAACATTTTCAGAAACCTGCTGCTAAGCATGGAGTTTTACAATGCAACCCAGTTGAGTATCTGCACCTCCAGATATTGATCTTCGTTGGTATCTGAAGCATGTCGTTGTTATGACATGATTAAACACATATCATAAATAAAATGATTACCGGACAAATACCTCCCCACCCTCCCACGGGCTTGATCAAACTACAAGAAATGATGCGAGTCAAATCACACGAGACCCTCCCCATGATCCCACGGACATGATCAAAAACTACAAGAAATAATATCAGTCAAATAACACGAGACCCTCCCCATGATCCCACGGACATGATCAAACTACAAGAAATAATACCAGTCAAATAACGCTAGACCCGCCCCATGATCCCACGGACATGATCAAGCCACAAGAAATAATACCAGTCAAATAACACTGGACACTAGACACTCCCACATGATCCAAATAACGCTAGACCCGGACATGATCAAACCAATTTAAGAAATAATGCAAGAAATAATACGGACATGATCAAATAACGCTAGACCCGCCCATGATCCCACGGACATGATCAAACTACAATTTAAGAAATAATGCCAGTCAAATAACACTAGACCCGCCCCATGATCCCACGGACATGATCAAATTACAAGAAATAATATCAGTCAAATAACGCTAGACCCGCCCATGATCCCACGGACATGATCAAACTACAATTTAAGAAATAATACTAGTCAAATAACACTAGACCCGCTCCATGATCCCACGGACATGATCAAACTGCAAGAAAGTATTACCACTAAAATAATGCCAGACAAATATCCACATTTCCGGGAATATGATTTAACCGCAAAAAGATGTTTAACACAAATCAACTAATTTCCGGACAAACACCGCACTACCCTCCCAAGGACATGATCAAACTACAAAATATAACACAAATCAAACAATTACGAGACAAATACCCTCCCCGCCCTTCAGCGGAGTTGATTATACTACAATAAATAATATCACAACAGTACTATCTGACAAGCTCACTTCACACTGTAGCATCTCACGTAGTACGTTTCCAACACAACCTTGTCTTGTCGTGACAAATGGCCTCACTGACCTCCTACATTCCTAGACGACGACCTCGCAATTCACGGTCACACTTGCCGTGGTTTCATAATGTGTCTGAGAAAGGCTTTAAATAGCCACATTATTTACAGTTGATTCTGTTACAGCTGTATTGTGTTTCATTTTGCCAAATGCATTGTGTCCAGACCATACGATTGTGACATATAAAACACCTGCATTTCTCATTAGTGCACGTCACCTCGTAATACTCGTCAACCTGGCCGACAAACTATTCCAGTCATTTCCCCTCCTAACATGTGAACTCTGCGAAAAGGTTGTCGCTGTGCGGAGCTTGCAATCAACCAACCGTAATGTGTTTTCACCGGGTCAGAAATTAGGCCACAAGTTCACAAACATGTAAAATTATTCGCTCATTGGATGTATACCTCCTGCCAGGGAGCTACTATTTAAAACTCCCTCACAATGGTATTGGTGTGTAACGGGACACCGGTATGGGTAAGTACCGTTATACACTATAAAGTTTATGCCAGTTTAAGTTCACATTTATTGCTCCATATGTTATTAGATTATGAGATGTAAGTGCTTTATATACAGTAGGTGAACATTAACAAGTTATTAAGTGTTATTTCTTATGATATGTGGTCGTGATAAGCACATTGTGGGTTTGTTATGCTTACAGTCAAACCCCGGGAATCCGGAAACCCATCTTTCTGGAAAGGATCTGTTTTGACATTTAAGTATGGTAAACATAAAAATATAGACCGGTCCCGTCAAAGCCCTGTCCATAAGCTCCCCTCTCCATTTTGACGTTAAGAGGGGTGGGGAGCGTCTATAGCAGCCGGCGAAACTTGATTGCGCGTGTGATGAATTGAGCTTGTCACTGTTTGGTATTTGTCGTTTTTTACCGAACCTTTAAAAGACAGCTTAGATGTTTTGAGTGCGTAACATATTTAAGTTGTCAAATTGTAAGTGGTGTGTGAAAATTTGGTACTCCTATGTTCAAAGGTTTTATCATTAATATTACACCTTACCTTTTTATTGATCATTGCGTTTTAGTCAATAATGATAATAATTTAGTTTTATGGGATAGAGACTACATCCCTATATGGTATAACTTTTATTAAGGTATATTTCAGTTTACATATCAGAGAGATGAGGTGAAATGGGGTTTATCGTCGCACATAAGAATATTTCGCTCATATGACGACGTGCATGCCAGTAGATGTGTGGCTGCTTCTACTAGCTCAGACTTAATTTGGTTTTATAGTGCCAGCTCACTGAGATTCCATGCCGCAGTTTAGCATGAATACCCAACTCAATTATTGCTCATACCGGTACATGAAATTGCACCTGCTTAGATGCAAATCGTAGGCAGCTGTTCACTAAACATTTACAAATAGATTTCAAATATGCTCCGATATCACACGGTTCTCTTTCTAAGATACTCTCATCCAAAATATTAATGTTGTTCTAAGATGCGGTGAAGACCTACCAAACGTTTCGAAAAAAAATCTGACGCCTTCTGCCATGAGCAAGCCACTCTGCAAGTAAATATGTAGCTCATTTCCAAATAATCATTACCACATCTTAAACAAGTTCGTAGCCCTAAGGTTCTTAACTTTGATCGTAGGCAATGTGTTAAGAATGGGCTAAAGGAGTTCATAGTGTTACGAACGTTTCGAGAATAGCTATCCTGCTCCTGCTGAGTCATCAAATATTGCCAACTTTATCAAAATCTGGCGAATAATTTCAATGCAGAAATACATCAAATCTTGGTTAAATATATTTCAATATTCACCTAAGTTTCATAAAAATCAATTGAGAATGATGTCATTTATTCTGGTACAGGGGCTCGATCCACAAAGCGTTTGTAGCACTACGTCATCCGTAATCCTATGATAAACTATACAGTTACGATAGCCCATAACGCTACGTTCGATTCCCCACATGGGTACAATGTGTGAAGTCCATTCCCCAGAATATTGCTGGAATATTGTTAAAAAACTATACTCACTCACTCACTCTTAAAGCATGTGCCTGGCGCTCGGCATTAATGGGTACAACAAGGACTGGTCGGCTCGGAGTCAGTATAATGTGTCTGAGTGGGATATTCATGCTTCACTTCGGCATGTTATCTCAGTGGGCTAGCACTATAAAACCAGCTTAAGTCTGGGCTAGTACAAGCAGTCACACATACCCATACACACGCATGCACGTCGTCATATGAGCGAAATATTCTCAAGTAAGACGTTAAACCCAATTACACCTCAACTCAACTCTTAAAGCACGAGCGAACCCACAATGTTTATTCCATGTGGTTGCAATGTAACCATTTTGTATTTGTTTTCCAAGCTCTAGATCTACATTTAAATCAATTGTATCTGGTACCTGATCAGGCGAATACGTGATAGTAATCACGATTATCAATAACTTGATGAAAATATACTATATATCAATACTTTTTAAAACTCATTGAAGGTTTTTTGCTTTAAAATTAAATTGCTTGTTTTTAACGTTGTGTGGTATAACCAAAATGTATACCAAATGCCTCCCTAAAAATGAACAACTATAGTTTTTCTAAACATATAGTTTTCTCCTTACTCTCATGCTGTCAAATATCCCAGTAATTCGCTGCTCTTCTCGCTTCATTTTCCTGTCTCTTCTAACTTTAAACTGATCTTTCCATCCACAGGAATGGAATCAGCTAATGATTCAATACGAGGTCCCGCCTCTTCAGACAAATGTTTAAATATTCCATGTATGGTTTCATACACACTCACATAAATTAAACTGAAAGAATTTTCATGATCGAAAACCGTTGACATTGACTATTTTTCTATTCTTAATAAATTATATCTACTGAAATATTTCGCTTAAGCTGCATGTGTAGCTTCTCTGTTCCCGGCTTAGGCTGTATGTGTAGCTTCTCTGTTCCCGGCTTAGGCTGTATGTGTAGTGTCTCTGTTCCCGGCTTATGCTGCATGTGTAGCTTCTCTGTTCCCAGCTTAGGCTGCATGTGTAGCTTCACTGTTCCCGGCTTAGGCTGCATGTGTAGCTCCTCTGTTCCCAGCTTAGGCTGCTTGTGTAGCTTCTCTGTCCCGGCTTTAGGCTGCTTGTGTAGCTTCTCTGTTCCCTGGCTTAGGCTGCTTGTGTAGCTTCTGTTCCCAGCTTAGGCTGCATGTGTAGCTTCTCTGTTCCCAGCTTAGGCTGCATGTGCAGCTTCTCTGTTCCCGGCTTTAGGCTGCTTGTGTAGCTTCTCTGTTCCCGGCTTAGGCTGCTTGTGTAGCTTCTCTGTTCCCAGCTTAGGCTGCATGTGTAGCTTCTCTGTTCCCAGCTTAGGCTGCTTGTGTAGCTTCTCTGTTCCCGGCTTAGGCTGCATGTGTAGTGTCTCTGTTCCCGGCTTATGCTGCTTGTGTAGCTTCTCTGTTCCCAGCTTAGGCTGCATGTGTAGCTTCACTGTTCCCGGCTTAGGCTGCATGTGTAGCTCCTCTGTTCCCGGCTTATGCTGCATATGTAGCTTCTCAGTTCCCGGCTTAGGCTGCATGTGTAGCTTCTCTGTTCCCGGCTTAGGCTGCATGTGTAGCTCCTCTGTTCCCGGCTTAGGCTGCATGTGTAGCTTCTCTGTTCCCGGCTTAGGCTGCATGTGTAGCTCCTCTGTTCCCGGCTTATGCTGCATATGTAGCTTCTCAGTTCCCGGCTTATGCTGCATGTGTAGCTTCTCTGTTCCCGGCTTAGGCTGCATGTGTAGCTTCTCTGTTCCCGGCTTAGGCTGCATGTGTAGCTCCTCTGTTCCCGGCTTAGGCTGCATGTGTGCAGCTTCTCTGTTCCAGGCTTAGGCTGCATGTAGCTTCTCTGTTCCCGGCTTAGGCTGCATGTATAGTTCCTCTGTTCCCGGCTTAGGCTGCATGTGTAGCTCCTCTGTTCCCGGCTTATGCTGCATGTGTAGCGTCTCTGTTCCCGGCTTATGCTGCATGTGCAGCTTCTCTGTTCCTGGCTTAGGCTGCATGTGTAGCGTCTTTGTTCCCGGGTTATGCTGCATGTGCAGCTTTTCTGTACCCGGCCTATACAGTATGTAGCTTGTCGGTTTATGCTTCATGTGTTCATGTAGCTTCTCTGTTCCCGGCTTATGCTGAGCGTGTAGCTCATCTGTACCCGACCTATGCTGCATATTTAATGTTATCGACTATTTGCTGCATGTCTACTCTGAAATCCTTCTGTTCTAGGACACAAACCTGACCTGGTACAACGCATGGCCTCAGTTCACAGACTGCTTCCAGTCAACGGTGCTGGTGTGGATGCCGTGTGGGTGGCTGTGGCTGACGTCGCCGTTCTACTTCTACTACCTCATGAACGTCACACCGACATCGCTGTCATCACGATATAAATATATAGCAAAGACGGTAAGCTGTAATACCCATGGTTTTTAACAAACGTTTCATCACGATACAAAATAACAAGTAATGTGTAGCAACACAGTTTTTTAACGATCGATACATCACGAAAAAGCAGTAATAATGTTAATGATAATTTGTTTGAGTAAGTATTCTCGCCTGTAAATATTCTGTAAGTCTGGACCAGACAAGCCTGTGACTGATATTGTGACAAACAATCCATGATCAACTAAATCACCCACCATGACCCACCTTATCCATTAAATTCCCTCTTTCGATCAACGTCAGATGATTGAAGTCTTGTCAAATTCGGAATCCCCTCGGGGAGCAATGTGAAGACATTAATGAGGGGGGATTATGGATGTTTATTTCTGTAGTATGAAGCGTTTCGGAGTTTATTCTTACTCACTCATCAGGTGAATGAAAGCTAGGAAACGGGTAGCTTTGTATGGAAATGTGAAACCCCAAAAGAGTCACAATTGTATAATTAGTCACAATTGTACAATCGACTCTGCTTTTATCAGAGATTTCTTATGAATATGGAAAGGGTTTGTCTCTTCTATTATTATTTATTATTATATAATAGGATATTTAGGACTCTTTCAGTGTTGTCACAACCCCAAGTGTACAGTACACAACACTGTGCACTTAAAAGAACCCACGAATCCGTTGGTATATGACCAGATGGTGGCAACATGAATGCGTGCAAACACTTAGTTGCGGGTACAGCAACGTGCAGTGAACTTGGACAAAGTACTGTGACTATGTGTCCCAGTCAACCCAGCTGTGAATGGGTACCTCGTAAGGATGAGAAAACCGCAATAACTAGTGGCTGCAAGAGTTGTATGCTCCCCCGGGAGTTGAGATTGATAATACGATGTGCCGTTGAGATTGACATCCAGTAATCGAGGGGAAAAAATGTCAGCGCCTTGAGCATGTATCAGATACATGGATATGTGCGCGATATAAATATCGTATAGTAATAATTATACTACACAAGTTGACAATATATACCGACCCTTTACCCAAATGATTATGCATGAATGACACAGTCCATTACGTTCCACCCGTGGAGATCCGGGTAAGACTTGGTCTTCAGTAATCCATGCTTGTCGTAAGAGTCGACTAACGGGATCGGGTGGTCAGGCTCGATGACATGGTTGACTGCCCAGTTACGTAGATCGATGGATTGTCTGGTCCAGACTCGATTATCTACAGACTGACGGAATGCAACTGTAACATTGCTGATGCGGCGTTGAACACTATTCACTCACTCCCTGACAATACGAATTCCTCCGAAACGTTCTTCTTTTGACTTTCAGATACTGTGTTCATGCCTCGTCATGCTCTCTGTCATACGACTCATCTACGCTGCAGACAGTTACAACACCAGGACATTCTCTGCCTTCTTCATCGCGCCTGCTGTCCAGACAGTTACCTTTGTAAGACAAGAAAAAACAAGAAGGAAGAGCTTTGTTCATACAAGAAATATTTTTATCCAAAATCACATTGTTTGCTTCCTGTACAAATCATGGGTGAAGAGTTGATTAACGAGTTCTGCATTTAAATCAAATTAATCTGATACCTCGTCAGGTGAATATTTGATAGGAATCATTATCAATAACTTCATGAAAGTATACTATATATAAATCCTTTTCAACGTTTTCTAAAGTGTGTATTGAAATACCTTGCTCTATTTATTAAAATGACAAATGTTTCCAAAAGCTGCGTTGTATCACCTGAATGAATACCAATATGAAAACATGAAGCAAGACCTTTGTTCATACAAGAAGTTTTTGATTATCCCATTTTTTGCTTCCTTTACTAATCATGGGTGTAGAGTTGCGGTCATTTGGCGTTCAAGACAACTGTTGTCATGTATTCAAACTCCTGTTCATCCTGGTAAGATTGTTAGTTTGAAGGCACCATCCAGATGCTTATTTGCTGATTAAATTGGTAAGAACATGCATCACCTTGTGATACTTTGAGCTACCAAAGCAACCGAGAACACTGTTTTAGAATTGTTCACATTCTGCAAAACAAGAGGGAGGGGAGTTGGGTAGAAGGTCAAATATCCCAGAAGCATACAAAGTGTATCATGACGTATTGACATTCCACCCTGACGCCCTGTCAATGCAGAATGACAATCTACAGTCAGTCGTTTTGGGTGATAGTGTTAGCAAAACACATTCAGCACACTTTGCAGATTTGCCGATGATGTTTAATCCTGATGCCAGAAAGTTTGATACTTCAAAACTGTCTAATGCTGTTGGTTCACAAATGAAATACCATGGAACATCATATGTGTTATTTCAGCTGCTTGCTATCCTGCTGCTGCTCCTGGAGAGGAAGAAAGGTCTCATCACTTCCGGGGTGATGTTCACCTTCTGGCTGCTACTCACCCTGGTTGACTTCATCCCCTTCTACTCCATCATCATGCAGGAGGTATTTGGAAGAAATATAATACTATAATTTTATGACTGATCAGAAACAATGATAGTGTTCACATAGAATTCAGAAAGGGATTTTCGTAGTGATCAAAACGTTTTATCTTTTAACAAGTATTTTCAGGCATGCCAATGTCAGAAGCAGAAGAGGCATGTGTTCACCATGAGAAGCATGTTGCACTTCTGGAAGGTGATTCTGTTCCAGTGATCTGTCACTATCAGCTTCACTGTGGAGAAAACTTTCTCCACTTCAGTTGTTGACAGAATTACACTTCATGGACAGACAAAGCATTCACAGTGTTTGGAAACATATTTCCAAGTTAAGGCTTGGGGCAGGTCAGGGTCTTCAGGATGGTTGGTTGTGAACTATAGTCCGTTTGCTACAAAATCGTACGGATGAAACGGCATGAAAGTTAGTCACTTGTCCATACCAAATCGTCACTATATTTTCAGACATGTACATGAAGAAGAGGAAAAGTTGTTTGATAAACGATCATGTAAATATTGGTGTTTTAATGACTGTTTTAACAACTTGGTATGCACAGTAAACAGAACAGCTAAAGCGTATCGCGGAACACAGGGATACTCTCAGAACTTCTAGTCTGAAATGTTTTCTAACTAAATGTTTTCTAACTAAACTAAATTAATCCTTTATTTGACTCCACTCAAGCTGTATCTGGCCCACAACAAGTCCATAGTGCCCTGCCAGCTCACTTATCTAGAAGAGAACAAGTGAACAGATTAAATTTCAATGAACAACTATATTCCATTCCAGTTAGTAATATACATTCAATTAGGTGATACCCTGCTAATTTTGATTCACCAAATTCTGTCCCTGAGACGATAAGGGGGCGATACAAACAGCTATGTGGCAAGTTATGTTTGATCAGGAAGAATAGCAATTCTGTGCATCCACCAGCATGGCAGTATTCTGTTCTGTGTAGTTTGAGAAAATACCCTGATTGGACACTGCTCCATCCTTTTCCATAAGGACTGCATCTTGATACGTTTGTGAATTTTCATGAAGGAAATCTTTAGAGTCTCACATCAAACTGCTGTCCAGATCTGTTATCCATTTCTCCCCATGCCGTTCGAATTCGTGTACAGCGACCAAAACATCTCGACCTTCCATTCGTCGTCTTCATTTCTTACTGAATATTTCAATCAGGGACAGGTCTTTTGACTAGCATCTTTCTTCTTGTTAGTTGGTTTCACCGACTCGTGTACCCTTGTGTTTCCATACTAGGAAAGTACCTGTGACTCATCTAATTTTGGTCTGGAAAGAAATCAAAGTTAATGTACCATACTCAAATTATACTTGGATATGAATATTGATATGGAAATGAAATTACAGAAAATATGCATATGAGTATCATAGCCATTGTGAAGTGCTTCTCAGTTTTAATTCGTTAAATAGATCTAATCCTTAAAGACATTTTTGTTCCATTAAATCACAACTTCAAATTTAACAAACTTGGCCAGCTTTTCAACGATAACTGCCTATGCCATTTGAATTATATTATTGGGCAGGACAAACGCAAATACAGCACAAGAATAATTTTGGATTGCCGATTGATTCAGAATGGCGGACATGTTGAGTTACAGTATTTCAAATAAACAAGACAAGGAATCTCGGACACAAAAAACACATACAAATAAAAAACACGTGGTCCTTAAATCGTTTTCTTTATTTCATATATGGTTAGCTTTAGATGAGATGTGAAAAGGAAAATTGAATCGACGATCTAAGATTCAAGGACTGAGACTTAGAGGTACATACCGGTTTGTAGACGACATTTCCTAGTGTTAGCCTTCACAGCTTCTTCTCTTTTCTACCCGTGAAGGTCCGGGTTTGAATATTGATCTTCAGTAACCCATGCTTGTCGTAAGAGGCGACTAAAGGGGTCGGTTGGTCAGGCTCGCTGACTTGGTTGACACATGCCATCGGTTCCCAATTGCGTAGATCGATGTTCATGCTGTTGATCACTGGATTGTCTGGTCCAGACCCGATTATTTACAGACCGCTGCCATTTAGCTGGAATATTGCTGAGTGTGGCGTAAAACTAAACTCACTCACTCTTCTCTTTTCCTCTTGATTCTACCATTGTGCTCCAAACCGCGAATTTATCCTCCTAGACATTAGCATGCTTTAAAATCGACCTTCCTAATTAATATCAAAACAATCTTGCGTCTCCTCAGGGAACGGAGAACACTTAGCTTAGTTAAAATCCGGAATATACAGGCGTAAAATCAAACACAGGCGTACAGCCGCAATAAAATATGCCATGAAGTGAACTGAAAAGGGCAGGGTGACAAATATGAATCGGATTATCTGTTCGGACAGACAAAATTGAAATTTGAAAAGTCTGCCTTCTAAAACAGGATATATATCAACGGTCTGAAAGCCATTTCCCTTCCTATGGTTTTCCAGCCTGATCTTACTTAACACAGGCCTGTTAAAACAACAACATAATAATAATAAAAGACCAGAGGGAAGATTTCAAAGTTTCCAACAGCTGACTTTCCCTTTTGTCACGCCATATTCTTTGATATCTATATTTTACAAATCTCGGTGTACACCCGAGCATGCTTTTTCTGAGATTTCAAACAGGGTCACATGAATCAAAAGTTGTTTTATCTGGGTTTAATATCCAAACTACCGCTATGTTTCAGCAATACGAGCAAAACATCCGCAAAGATGTATTCTTCTACATATACTATGGGCTAGTATTGTCAGAGCTGATCCTGAGCTGTTGTGCAGAGACGTCTTCAGAATTGACTACCCAGAACAAGGTATGACCTGGAATATTCGGCACGGTGTACAGATGCATATCCTTACAGACACGTTCTCCTCGTCATCTGAGCCTGTTCATATTGATAAATAATAATAAAGAGAATATTTATAACGCGACTTTGCCAGGTTAGATATCCTGCTCAAAGCGCACAGTCTGATCACGCCGGATAACCCAAGCTGCATGCCTGTCAGGCGCTAGAAGGTTAATAGTCTCACGACTTCTTTCACCGAGTACCCATTTTCTGCTGAGTGAACAGAGGCAATTTTGAACAAACGCATTTGCCTTATGTGAGACCACTTGTATCACACGTGCTTCGTTGTGGGTAGAACTGAAGTCCTAGACACTCTCAGGAGTCAAGCTGTCACACACGGTCACCCATCCAAGGACTCTCTGCGCCCAACGTTGCTTAAATTCAACTGATTGTGGCCTCATCATGAGTCTATGCACAAGGACCCGACGCCACCACCATATTACTTTAATAGCAACAAAACCTTTTCCATACTGACAAGACATCTGGAATCTATTACAAGATTCAAGCAATGTCCAATACAGTTATCTGAATTACCCATTGTAACAAACATATAGCTCTACCTTATGCTAAAAACTGATGTACTACAGGAACAATATTAACTTTAATAGCATATGAATTGGAGATCCATGTTGAAGTGGATCAGCAGGAATCCATATTTGGTGTCACTGACTTGGCTGATGTATCTAATGGTATTCGGTAGATCGATGCTGATGATTTCAACCTCTGTATTTTCTGGCCCAGAAGCGATTATTGAGAGTATCCTCGCATATAGCCGGAATATTGCTGAGTGGGGTGTAAACAAGTACATAAAACACAAGATACTCGTACCTGGTCAAATTTCAAACTGCCTGACTAAATACCTACATTGTATCATTCCTTCATACTTCCAGAAACCGTGTCCTGAACTGAGCGCTTCCTTTCTCTCAAGGATCACCTTTTGGTGGATGAACAGGTGACACTACATAACATTATATATGCAGTTGTAGAAGTTGCCTTAATTGGATATTGTTTGTGTTCTGTCATAGTTAATTTATTATGTGTGGGATGAAGCTTGACTCTTTGGTTAAGTTTCTTGCTGTTATCGGAGAGAAGACGCACAGTGAACCTCTGAGGCTTCCATTCGGTTTGATATTGGATATCTAGTTTAGATACCGCCAATAAAATACTTGTGTTGGAACACTTCGTGAAATGTGTCAATATCGAGGGAGAAATGCGCCAACTGGCTGATTTCTTCCCCACTCTCAAAAAATCTAAAACATTATTCTATTGTTTCATCTGGTTCGGTTAAATGCATACTATCATCAAAATTCAAACAGTTTGCCTCTTGGTATAAATTCCTGTTTTCCTTCATATATGAAACTGTAATTCTGACATTGTTATTTTTAATAGCTTATTAATGAGAGGATACCGTAAGGCTTTGACAGAAACCGACATCGGTGATATTCATCCTGATGAATCGTCCGCCCATACCGTGTCTCGTTTTCTGCCGCGGTGGATGAAAGAGATTAACAAGTCAAAGAGAAGGTAAAACATTCATTTTATTTCATTTTACTGAAAGGTCTGCTACATAGTGGAGCGGCTAAGGTCAAGATTTCATAAGAATTGTCCATTTGATGATGAAAGCACCAAAATTGGTCACCATATAAAAGAACATGTCTGAAATAATTTCAGATATGGAGGCACCTCAAATTTTGTATCTCGTGCGCATGCGCAGTACATTAACTTTGACATACTTTTTTCAGCGTTGCTCCTTAAATCTTTAATATTGCCATTCATTACACACCTATAATTTTCATAAACAGTGATTTACAGGTTCGTGAAAAGACAAGAAATACATAATTTTAGAATAATACAAAACATTTCGAAACAATGACCACTCCCTCTTCCCAAAATGGCGGCTAGCAGATAACTTTTGGGACTATTGAACTCTTCGAGAAAATGTGTTTATGCTTGGGATTTATCGGATTAAAAATGACTGAAAATGAACATAATAAGTGGCAAAAGAAATGCAGTACAATAAAAACTAGAATCATCAGAAGATGACAAATCCCTCCGGCCCCGATACATTTGAACGCACAATCATCGAACAGTTACTTATTAAAGTCCAACTTGATTTTGTTTATTCAACATTTCCAAGGAAAACGTCTTAGATATGTTCAACAATTAAAAAAAATATGTGAACTTCATGGCTCTAGGGCAAGCAAGGGAGATACTTTAGATTGTCTTTTGCAAGGGAGCAGTAATTTTTCCGGTGCAAATCATTGGTTTTATTGTTTATTAGCCAATATTGTGACCAAGCTTCTGACCTCTTCACTCTCTCATATTAGTGACAACAGGGTTAGCCTCACACCATGAAGGGTCAACATCAATCTACGATGACAAAAAACCGCTAACTTGGATTGCAGACAGGTTACCCACAGCTTCCCCATTGAAGGATCGTCCCCATTCACCTTACCACCAACTGGAGCAACTTTGCAAGTCACCAAGAACCAAAGCTACCAGAATGCAGGGTCTTCCCGGCTTGCTCAGCTTGATACTATTATCAGACGAGTCTTCCTGGGCCTCACCATGTCCAGATCCATCAACGAGGTGATGATATCACACTTCAAAGATCCACAGTCCGACAAAGAACTATGCGTTTGTCCATGGTCAACCAGCAGAAGTATCAGGAGTCTATCTCCGACCACATCTGCTCAGCATCGGCGTGAGTCACCTTACTACTTAGACAAGGAAGTACTGGCCAATCTTAACGAACAGATATAACATGACGCCACCGCTCCACTCTATCTTCCGCAGATAGACTATGCAGAAACCCTACAACCCAGCTCACAGATGTGATAGAGTCATTTCTATCCAAAGAAGTAATAGAAGTTATACCTCAAGAGGCACTTGACCTGGGGTTCTGCTCCCCAATTTTCTTGGTTCCCAAGAACGATTTATCAGAAAGTCCAGACTAATATGAAGACGTTCAACAACGATTATTTATTGAAGGCAGAGAAGTTCAGAATTCTCCACCTTCTACAACTGAAGCAGATGATGAGACAGAACAACTTTCTGGCAAGCATAGATTTAAGGATGCATATCTGCATATGCCAATCCATCCAGGATCCAGAAAGTATCTACGATTCCTGTTCAACCATAAAAAAATATCAGTGGAATGTTCTACAGTTTGGCATTTTCATGGCCCGTGGTTATTTACACAGGTAACCAAGCCCATCGTGAGCTTCCCAGGAAATAATCTCAAAAACGTAACATGAGGACTGTAACAACAATCAAACCTTAACTATTACAGAATTACCTAAAATAATGATGCTTTATGGATTATCTGTGATGAGTGAATACATTTTAGGAGTTTTCTCAAAATCATACATAGACAAATAATTCCGAGTTGCGTTTCCTGATCTAACAGAGGTATTGGTTCAGTTATCGATTTTTTAATTGACGTCATAAACAATGGAGGACGTATTTTAAAAAGACTGATTCTGTGTCTACAAGTTTTGAAAAGTTGCCATCAACATACTTGGACATAATCTCGTGGTCCTGGGTGCAATGTCTTTTCAGTGATATTTGTGATTCTGAGCATTATTAGTCTATCTCTCCATGACGATTTCATAAATTCCCTCATTAACTGAAAGCTTTTTGGAAAAAAACAACAACATAATTTCCATATGGAAGCCGTTGCAATTCATCAGTTTCGGACCTAACATACACACTAAATCCGTTTTGTGGCACTTTGAAATAGAAATTCCTTACTAGGTTTTGCCGAAATATCTTGACGCCCTTATTACATGATGCAGCATTAAATCCCTTCCAATGTGAAGATTTGTTTTTCAATATTGTGACCACTTATGACTTTCTATTTTGAAGCTTTGTCTTAAAATCGACATCAGGAACCGAATGATTTCATAACTCATAACTTGATATGGATGAGAAAATGTGCATTTTGTATTTAAGTTGTGTTCGCAGAGCTCACACCAGGGACAGAGACAAGAAAGTGTTACGTTCTAAAACACTTAACGATTCAGTCATTCTGGATGCTGTTCATGAAAAGACTCCTTTGCTTACGAAAGATAAACCGATGAAGATGAAAGAGCCGGATTTGACATCCAATAGTAACAAAGTGTCCCTAACAAGGATACTGTGGAGGACTTTCTGGTTCGACGTGTTACAGTTTCAGCTATGGAGACTTGTGAGCGATCTGATTAAGTTTGTGAGTCCTTTGATACTTGGGTACGTAGTGCTGCCAGTTTTTGCTCTTCAGTCGTCCACTGTTGTGCTTTACTATGTGTGTGATTGTGTTCATTACTCAAACCCATATAGATGGAATATTGCTGACTGCAGTGTTAAACAACAAACAAACCAAAAACATTACTCAACCAAACATTGTTATGTTTTACAATATCCAAGGAGCCAGTCAATACGAAAGGAGCCGCACACAACATCCTATCGCATTCATTTGTCAAACGTAAAGACATGTGCATGTCACAGATAAAGTTCCTTCCTGTCTTGCAACCTTTAAAGAATAGCAATCAGGTTGACCACAACACAAAAAGTGTCACCACGCTTATGTCCAACTGAAATTAAAACATACATGAGACATTAAAAAATGAGAAAATGAAAGCTTGTGTCGTAAAATGTTTTTGTTCCTGCGACTTGTGAAGCCAAGCATGCATCATCGTTAGTGACATTTGCTTTCATTAAGTTACTGTATTTCGTTTAGTGTTTTCCAGTATGTATTGTGTTCATTGATGTTAAGGATATATTTTCATTTACAGATTCAGAAACATACACTTTATCTTGGTCAGGAGGATCAAAACTGTTTATGTGGAACCCAAATAACAGTTTTTAGAATATCGGTCAATTTCAACAAAAGATATAATATATACATATTGGGTTTTTTCAAATGATTGAACACCCCAAAGCACCAAATGGTGTACCCACAGTAAAGTACATTCATATTGATAAGTATTTATTACAGCCTACTCATCACCTTCACGACAGACAAGACAATACCCACGTGGAAGGGCTATGTGTTGTGTGCCATCCTCTCGTTCACCACATTAACTAAAGACAGTCTTTTCTCAAGCCAGCTGGTACCAGGGGAGAAAAGTGGCACTACGGATTTCTGCTGTCACCATATCTGCAATCTATAGAAAGGTGTGTACTCTCACCAAGTACGTATACTCCCACCAACTTGAAGTATTTAACCAATTTTAATTTTAAACCAAATAAAAAAGCGTAAATAAGTGTATCCATGGAATGCACTCTAGAGTTGTTTAGAGACCACAATTAGACTTGTGTGTGTTTCAGTGGTGACTGCTATCATCATCTATTCCCCACATACAACTGGCACGCCATGACATGATCATGGATGTTAAAGACACATTGTTGTCTTTTTTTCATAAATATCTTCCAGTCCTTGAAGATGAGCAACAAGGCCAAGAAAGAGTCTACAATAGGTGAAATTGTGAACCTGATGTCTGTGGACGTAGAGCATTTGCGAACGTTCATATTCTATATCTGGGAATCATGGTCACAGCCTCTGAAAGTTGTCATTTCCCTGTATCTCCTGTACCAGTTTCTTGGAGCCTCTATGTTTGCTGGGATGGCGGTTTTGTTTGTGTTGTTGCCCGTCAACGGTATTACTACTTTACTGTGGAAGAAGTTTCAGGCTGAACTCATGGAACAAAAGGACAAGAGGATGAAGATCACGAATGAAGTACTCAGTGGAATAAAGGTAGAAGTAGGACATCTAGTAGTCTGTCACACATCAGAAATTCAGACAGGACTTTAACGATACAAAGATGCTCTTTTCTGCTTCATTTCATGTGAATGAGAATGTCAAGTCGTATTTCACAGAGATCTGTGAGATTAGTGAGATTCCAAATGGAATATACCTGCATGTTTTATGTTCCAGATTCTGAAACTATACGCCTGGGAACCGTCTTTCCAACAGAGGATCCTTGAAGTCCGGAAACAGGAGCTGCACATTCTGTGGAAGATCTCCCTAATGCAGGTTTTCACCACCTTCTCCTGGGCGCTGACTCCCTACCTCGTACGTCAACCAACTACCATTACAACACACTTATGTAATGCTTTATGCGTGACAGCATTGAAGAAAGTCCTACCTTGTATGTTTATCAACTATCATAACAGCATACTAGTGTAATTCTTAATGTGCGATACTATTAAAGAAATCATTGTCTGGTATGTCTATCAACTGTCGTTACCTCACACGACTTTATACCGTGTGAGGCATGTGGATGTAATAACGCCTTCATGCCAAATTAATTTGCATTGTTCTATAAATATATATACTCAGTGATAACTATCTCGTGACTTAAAGATTAACAGAAAGCTTCATAAACTGTTTTCTATAGTTGTTTAAACAACTGAATTAGCTAGATTACCTCAGGGCCACAATCTCAAAGACATCAATTATAGCTGATGACATCCATCATGCTTCAATGATGGCAGTTTGTGTAGATCAACGTATTCCCACACCAATCACATTTGCTGTGATGCGTGATCATTATTATAGTATTATAGGAATAGTTGATATATTCATCAGTGTGCTGATACTATACCTTGGGAATGATTTGTATATTTTGCAGGTGTCGTTGGCTACGTTCACGACATATATCGTCACATCTGAAGATCACTATCTTGGACCCGATGTCGTCTTTACCGCCATGTCACTCTTGAGCATCCTGAGACAAGCGGTCGTCAGTTTACCTTCTTTCGTTTCAGATTTAGTTCAGGTAATTGGCATTCTTATGAAAATCGTGCTGATTTACTATTGAATGTCTTTGTATATCCTGGTCAAACAGTAATAGTAGACGCACTTGTACTTCCCATCTGATCAATGCCTCATGGTTAGTTATTTTGAAATTTCAGGCTTTTGTGTCAATGAAGAGGATAACAAAGTTCCTCAATACTGACGATTTGGACGAGACACAGATACATTTTAACTCCACACAGGGTAGGTAATGGTTTACAAATTACATGATGTGACATCATGAAACTGAAACTTCATGTGATATATTTGGGTTGGTGAGAACTGGGATGAAAATTTACTATCTGGAAAGAACCTTGCCTTGGCTGGTTCTGTAACCGGATGAGCTGGTGAAAAGGAGACGAATTAATATTTGCATTGAAGCAGTGGTAAAACACATATTTTTCTCTATCATATGTCCAACACCATACTTCCTCCAAGATGCCAAGGAACTTGTTTGTTGTAAACTAGTCAGTAGAATGCATGTCGTATTAATGTTCTATTCCAATGGCACCATTGAGCCATAAGGATAATGCGTGTATGTTGAGAGAGTAATGATGAAATATCTTCTCCATTTCTTCACACACAGATTCACTATCGAAAACAGATCCTGCACTGAAGATTATTGACGGGTGTTTCCGGTGGACATCTGAATTCGGACCGGCTCTCACAAAGTAAATACACCATATACATTTTATGATTTTCCCAAATATAATTTGACACTCCTACTCGGAATTTAAACAGATATGGATTTATTTCAGCTGCCATAATACAACAAAACGAACTTTTCTTTTCAGTATCAACTTGACAATCGACGAAAGTCAACTTGCAGCAGTCGTAGGTCAAGTTGGATCAGGAAAATCTTCTCTTTTATCTGCAATATTAGGCGAGATGAACAAGGTCAACGGCTATGTCAGTCTAAAGGTGCATATTTTCGTTCATAGCTCTTATTGTGTTGGACATAGAAACCAAGTCAAATAGTTACGATTGCCGTATTACACACAAGTCGTTCGTATTTCCTGGCAGAGTAACATTGCCTACGTGCCACAAGTTGCGTGGATCCAGAACGACACCCTGCAGAACAACATTCTGTTCGGGAAGCCCATGGACAGACATTGGTACAACAAAGTAGTAGATTGTTGCGCTCTGACTCCGGATCTGGAGATGTTACCAGCCGGCGACATGACAGAGATTGGGGAGAGAGTGAGTTTCTCTTGCGTTTATTCTAGAGAAGAATTGGCCGTCAACATTATGTGTGCTTATCATTAGGTTCAGTCTTCATCTGATCGCATTACTGTTGTAGAAAACTAGCAATTTATCATTGTTTCCTCCCAAACTGCCTTCATTTTTGGAAGAATTGTTGACTACAGAATGGAATAAACCATTTGGACATTCGTCGGTCGTATTAAAAGGGCACTAAGGGAAGCGGCTATGATTGAGTGTGAAAGTGTAGCGAGAAGAGGACAGAAGCAGAGCCCGTGCTGTCTACAACGTTGTGGTTTGTCTGTTGTATTAGTTTCCTCTCTTGTCGTCAGGGTATCAACTTGAGTGGAGGACAGAAGCAGAGAGTGTCTCTAGCTAGAGCTGTCTACAACGATGCGGATATCTATCTGCTAGATGATCCACTCAGCGCTGTTGACAGTCATGTAGGGAAACATATCTTTGACAAGGTCATCAGTAGACAAGGATTGCTTGCTGGCAAGGTAGGAACGTCCCACACTATACATTAATCAATTGATTTATAAAATGTGATCCTCTTGAGCAATATACAACAGCCACAATTTTCCGCCATTTTGCAAATTGACTAAACACTTTTCTTTTACGCATATAAGTATGAAGAGGCTCAAAAGGGCTCAAAACATCCGAACTGACTAATATTGATATTGAAAATTCACATCAAAGTTCGTTTTGTGTATGAAAACCAAATGTTACATATTTTTCTTGAAACTATACACATGTTGCGCTCTATGAAGCCTGTTATTGGTCTCATCTGCCTTGCTGTTTAAAGAATAGTGCTAAAGCAGCCAAAAGCAATGCTCATTTCCTTGCCCAGCCACTAGAATATGCAATATGTTCGCTGCACTAATGTCTTTCACCTGTCCCATCCAGACTCGTGTCTTGGTTACTCACGGCATCCACTGGCTCCCAGAGGTGGACTCCATCCTTGTGATGACCCGTGGTCAGATATCAGAGACAGGGACGTATGAAGAGCTTCTCCACCATAACGGACCCTTTTCTGAATTCCTGCAGAAGTATCTTCTTGAGAGCATTGATTCCGGTATCACCGATCCCGAATGTAAGTTGGACATTCCACAGGTAGTCCGTACGTTTGTAATAAAATGAGTGGAAGTTTACATCATTCTGATAATATCATATAAAAGGTTATTTTCTAAATTACATGTACCTCACTTTCCCATTGGTATGTACCCAGTAACTGAAATACAGAAGAAAGTTCTCCAGGGCTTTCGGTCGGTAAAATACTGGCGAGGAGACAGATGAAGACAGTGTATCTCTAATGTAAGTAAATGTATTCAAACAAAACATAATATATACAATATAAAACAAAATACCTATTACAGTTATACCAAATCTGCATAATTGGGTGTTTAATCATTAACATCATTAGTGTTGATGATAAAGAGATTAGTGATTTGCGAAAGGAGGACTATCATCTGACCATCATTGACCCCTGCCACAAACGCTTTCGGAAGCTTAGTAAACCTGGACCCATGTGTGACGGACATTATATGGTCTAAGTCTAAGTTTAGGGCACTTGAATCAGACATTTTGTCAGTGATGTTTGATATGTCTAAATTATCTCTTTGATTCTAAGGTATCAGATGATAGATGAACATGGTGCTCATTGGTTTAAGTCCCTTGTTTCCCCTTTGCCAAGTCAAGTCCGATTAATTTGTCTAAAGAAACATATCAGAAAAGGGGAGTGCAGTTCTTGGCCTGGATGTCTTCTGTCCTGGATGACTTGTACTCTTATTTAAACATAGTTGACTTGAGGGCGTTTACTAATTTCACAGTAAACTGAGAAATTCAATGTTCTGTTGTATTTTCTGAGGTCGCATATGAAGACGGATTTTGATAATTGCTTTTATCATGTTAATCTGTCATATTGACATAAAAATTTGTAAACATATTCACCAGTATTTATACCACTGAAGCATATACTGTGTTGGTGTGTTTTTAACATTGCCAGTGTTGCAGGAAGTCCCTTGTGGAAAGTACAGAGGTGAAAACAAATCAAAGTGCTGAAAGAGAAAGAACCTGTGAGAGATAGCAGTAGGCTTATAGGGGAAGAGCAGGTGAAGACTGGCAAGGTATGTCCTGATCTCATGTACATCCTCTTATGGTATCACCATAATGCGTCACCAATGATTTTCAATCCACATCTTTTACAGGCCGCTGTCGCATAGCAGGAATTATGTTGTGTCAGACTGTAAATATTTTCTCTTTTTTTTTGTTGGCAAATTGTAAAGATGGAGCGACATGCTGGCCATGATTGCCGTTGAACTGACCAACAACTTCTTTGTTCCAGGTTAAACTGAATGTGTTTCTGGCATACGGCAGAGCTATCGGCCTTTGGACTATATTATTCTCACTCGTCATGTTCGCGTTATTTCAAGCAATGTCAGTGACGTCAAATACATGGCTCAGTAAATGGACTGACGACATCTCCTCAACAACCTCACCATTCTCCCGTCCAACAGCTCAGAGCGAATGGAGAAGAACAATTACTATCTAGGCATCTATGGTGTCTTGGGAGTAGCTCAGAGTAAGACTTGACAGCCATGTGTGATGGAATTTTGTAGTTGTTTCTGTTACGAATATGATTAGGTTCATCCAGCCTAAATTACGTGTTCTTATATATTGTTATAAATGAATGGATGTAATGTATTAATGTTATCAATTATCTTAAGCAGTTACAAGAAACATCTTGTAAAAATAAATGTGGTATATGTCAAGCATATTTTATTCGGATCAAAGTTACCATTTACAATATTACCAATTTGACTTTTGATAAACGTTTATATTTACAGCAGTTTTCATCATGACATTTTCCTGTGTGTGGGAACCTTAGGACCGTAAAGCTGCTGGCATTCTCCATACCAACATGCTGAGGAATGTTTTGAGGGCACCGATGTCCTTCTTTGACACCACACCTACGGGCAGGATTGTCAATCGATTCTCCCAGGATATACATACCATCGACACCAGGATTCCGAGTCTGGCGGAGCACACTGGCAACACAATGTTCCGTGTACTCAGCATCATCATCGTCATCTCCTACACCACGCCCATATTCCTCGTGGTTATCATCCCCTTGGTTATTCTGTACTCTTTTATTCAGGTAAAACTGGTATCCTTGACTGCTGCATTTACCAAAATAAATGGTACAATATGTTGGTACCGTTAAGAATGTTTCCGAGAGAGAGAGAGGTTTATTCAAGTAAAGGGGCCACAGGCCCATTATACAAATGTACAAAGTGCAAGGTCTAACAAGCGCCATAAAATATTCAATATTAGCACAAGTGCTAATCAGCAGATACAAGAGGCTGTAGGGGTACTATACACTCAAGAATGCATTACGCTTCTTTAAAGCTAGATACACAAATTTTCCAAGATTATTAATAAGAAGTATATTCTTCGTCATGAACAACTGAGACAGTTTCTGTTGTGACGGAAATTGTAATAATAATTTGGAATTGTCATTTCTCTAAGATTATTATAAAATGGACATTCTAGGCAAAAATGAAATTCGCTTTCTACAGTAGGAATAATACACAATGGACACAAGCGTTCATTTCGCTTTAGACCAAGGCGTCTACCATATTCAATCATTAACATATGACTGGAGCTTCTAATTCTACTTAAGGCAATACGAAATACTTTGCATTGAACGTGATTAATGTAGAACTCTAAGCAAACTTTGTTTTGATATTACTCAGAAAATCAAGTTTAGAAAAACACAGCATATCACCTTTCCATGATTGGTTATGAACGTCAATACATCTTTGTTTGAACAGAGATATGAAAGTAGTGACATTCCCAACATTCTGGTAAAACCAGGCATATCCAAAACCATATTGATTTAGAAGTCTTTTTTTACACTTAGTGCCCAACATGGGCGTCCTTTCTCTGCAGTTCGATATTGATATTCATACACTTTCTTTAAAATAACATTATCAGCTTGAGATACCAGTCTTATCCAATATTTAATAATTTTACAATAAATATTAACTTTAAGGGAGTGTCTACCAAGCTCGGCATGAGCGAATATATTCGGGGTGCTTCTTGGAAGATTGAGAACTTGTTTGCAAAATTTGTCATGGATATTAATAACATTAGGTGCTGTGTGAAATCCCCATACTTCGCTGCCATACAGTAAGATTGGGAGAATTTTAACATCAAATATTTTGAACAAAACATGAATGGGGAGATTTGAGAAATTAGGTATTGATGATCTGAGTATACCAAGAACTTTCCATGCTTGTTCTGCGAGGGTTTTTTGAGTTATATACCACGAGCCTGAGCTGGATAAATGAACCCCTAAGTACTTATAGGATGAGACAGTATCAATAACATTATTTTTTAGATAAAATCGTTCGCATTTCTTAAGTCTGCCACCCTTTCTAAACACAATAATTTTACTCTTTGCTACATTGATTTTTAGTTTCCAACGGTCACAATAACCAACTAATTTGTCTAATCTCTTTTGGAGACCACCAACAGAAAAGTCAAAGATTACAATGTCGTCAGCAAATAGTAATATAAACAATTCAATTAGTTCCAGATTCACACCCCTCTGGTTATCTAATGCTAGGCTCTCTACAATATCATTTACAAAAAATGAGAACAAGAAAGGGATAGTTGGCAACCCTGGCGGACGCCATTTTGGCACTCAAAAATGCTGTATATCCTTCATTTATAGAGACACATGATCTTACAGATTTGTACATGTTTTCAATAATCTGAATAATTTCCTTTAACATTTCCCAACCACAGTTTATAGAAGAGACTGTTCCTGTCAACCGAATCAAACGCAGCTTTCAAGTCAATAAAAGCACAGTATAATCTTCCTTTATACAGAGAGAGGTATCTTTGAACGATCGAATTCAATATAAATATATTATCACGGGTTTGGAATCCATGTCTAAAGCCTGCCTGTTCTGGGGCAAGGAAACTTTCCCGCTCAGCCCAGAGAGTTAGTCTAGTACTTATAATTTTTGAAAATATTTTGCCAGATACTTCAAGTAAGGTTATAGGCCAGTAGTTGGCTGGATCATTGACATTACCCTTCTTGAAAATAGGAATAATTACTCCTACTGTCCACTCAGTCGGATAGATACCCGTAGATAGGACACCGTTAAATAAAGATTTCAACATGTCTATGCATTCTCTTGGGGCGCTTTTGAAGAATTCAATAGCAATACCACTTATACCTGGGGATTTGCCACATTGCATACTGTTTATGGCATCTACAATTTCCTGATAACTTATTTCGTTGTCTAGATCATCATAATTTGCAGATTGTTCAATAAATTCTTCACTGATAGACAAAACAAATTGATTCACCTCATTATAGAATTCCTCATACTCTGAGAAATGCAGACCTTGGAAGAGATCATGAAAGTGTAAGTTCCAGTCTATAGGTTTTATCTTATTTTTTGTAAATTGTGATTTAGGTTTGACAGTTTTCCAAAACAATTTATTATCTTTAGTACATAGTGCACTGCATAGTTTATCAGTAAAGTCTGCCAAAGATGCTGACTGCTTAGATGCACATAGCTGTTTATAGGAGGACCACGAATCGATGTACCGTTGTCGGTCACAAGAACCGTTACTGGCATGGAAGGCACGGAGTAAGCGTCGAGCTACATTTCGTGCTGCAAGGCATCTCATCATCGTACCAGTTGTCTCCCTTGTGTATATGTGATCCGACCAGTTGGCGTTGCTTACAGTGTTCGGCGCATGACTCGACAGTGGCATGAAACAAAGAGGAAGCACTGTTGATATCATTGTTTTCAATATGGCTATTAAAATTTCCATAACATTTGGCTCTAATGATTGCCAATTAGTAGCGTATTCAGACAGAGATTCTCCTTTAAAGAGAATTTGATCTTTGGTGTTAGATTATACAACTTAGTGTTAGTGTTTACACCCATATCAAACAGCAATGAGAATGTCACTGGTAAATGAGTCAATTCTACTTCTTCAGATATTTCAAAATCATTGAACAATGAAAAGGCATTATCAGAGCATAAAACATAATCCACGACACTCTGGCCACTATTAGCAAAACATGTAATTTTTCCAATATTGCTATCTTTAAAGAACCTACCATTGCATATTCTAAGCCCAGTGTTGATACAGAAGTCTAGGAGGGCGTGGCCACGTCTATTGATAACAGCATCCTGGGATACCCGTTGTGGGATGTCGTCGTCAGGGACATAGTTGATGTCCTCGTCTATAGGCAGATGTGTTGGGTCATCGTTGTAGATATAGTCTTTGTATGAACCATCGCCTGTCCGTGCATTGAGATCGCCCTGGACTATAACTCTGCAGAGTGGATCTGAAGACCGGAAATTGCTGATTTCTTCCTCAAGTATATCAAACACTGCCTCATCAGCATATCTGCTAGAATTATCTGGAGAGTAATACACAACACCGAAATATAATGTTAGAGCCTGATTAGGAGGCTTTATATGAAGCCAGGAAATGTTTTCACTACAGCTGGGTATGAAACAAACTTTGAAGTCGTGTCCGATACCATGATTACAATGCCACCGGAGTTCCTGAATGCTTGTTCCTGTTTCTGTCGTGTTGTGTTGTAGATAGTGTAGCCAGGAAAGGAAAAGACGTCAGAGGGATTGGACCAGGTTTCAACTAAGGAGATGATATCATAATTTTTCCAACAGCTAGTAAATATCGATTTACCAAACTTGTTTTTTGATGCCCTCTATATTCCAGAATAGACACTTGCATGTGGTATCCCCTGGGCCTTGGCCACACCCCTAATGGGTAGAGTTCGGGTCTGCAATCCCTGTTCTAGGCTTGAAGGTTTTGATCAGGACGATATTGTCTTGAGTTTCATTAAGACGATAAAGTTTATTTTCAATTTGTAGCTTGTCTGATTTAAGAGTTGCAAATTTACCTTCCTTTTTTTGCATCCATCATGTAACTTTTCAGGATTTTCCTGACAGCCCGTACTCTCTGTGTGAAGTCCTGGGATACAGACACGCCGTGGCCCTTGAGATGCTTGGTTGCCTGGAGGATGCTATTCCTCTCTTTCAGATTCCTGCAGGTGACGAGAACTGGCCTGGCTCCAAGAGCCCGGGATGGGAGGCGGGTAACACGGTCAAGCTCTGTGATATCAGTCATGTGCATAATATCATGTAACAGTTCAATTACTTTCTTTTCAGTATCCTCGTTTGATTCACCTGATGTTTCTTCCAGATTGTAGAAAATGAGATTGTTTTGCTTCGAGATATTTTCCAAATAATCTAATTTATTAGTAAGTGACGTGATAGTTGATTTCATTTGGTAATTCTCCTCAGATATAGATAGCATTTCCTGTTCAAGACGTTCAATTTTGTTATTTAGTTTCATGAAGTTTTCATTCATTTCCATCCTCATCTCCTTAAATTCTTTTAATAGTTCGTATGAACATACCTCTCCCTCTATCGTCGTTTGTCGTGTTTTAGGTGGACCGGGATTTGTCTCCACATCGTTGCACAGGAGCAGTAGTAGAGACAGCAGCAAACTTAGCTTGATACAGGTGTGTGCTCCTGTCGGCACGTGCAGCACGCGGACACGCTTGGCGGCTTGTCGCGCACGTTTGGACATGAATGTGATAAAAACTAACTGGAAGCAGCCAATTCTGGCTCTAAATGCTACATTATCACATCCCATATCTTACTTCTAGGCCCAGATATTAAACCGCTCTGTGCTGCTGTGTGCAAGTTGCTGTGCTGCTCACTTTCTTCGTTAGCTAGTGCAAGATTTCGCGGAGCTCGACTCGTATGCGTGCGACCCCTTCAACACCTAGGTGGCGCTATCCTAGGTGTTCGTGCGTATTCATGTGGCCACCATCTGGTCATATACCAACGGATTCGTGGGTTCTTTTAATGCACAGGGTTGTGTACTGTACACCAGGGGTTGTGCCAGTACTGAAAGAGTCTGCACTCAAAGTTGACTTGAAGGTTTTTACACCCAGTCACAGGTGGGCTCGATCCCGACACCTCAAGCTCTAGCCTGGCGCTTTAGCAAGCTTGCCCACCATGCCCCAATAATGTGTGGAGCCAATTTCTGGTGTCCCCCACCGTGATATTGCTGGAATATTCCTAAAAAGCGGCGTACAAATCACTCACTCACTACATATTTTGACGTTAGTTATGTTCTCAGTATCTACAGAAAATGACTTTTCGTCAAGCTTTTGCTGGAATTTACACATGAATATATTTCTGATGATATCTGTACACTTTTACAGTTTTCACTGAAATTTTTATGCGGAAGTTTGATTGGAAATTGTCTTGTCATGACTTTTTCTGTTTGTGAATAATAATAGAGTGAATAAGTATGCATTTTAATAAACTTATTTAAACTGTGTACTTGAAATGTGTGTTTACTTGGTCTGGTTGCTGTATGGCTGAAATAGTGCCTAAGCGATGAGGAATTTTAACTCACTCACTCACTGTTATTCCATGTTGTGATGTCAATCACTGGATTGCCTGATCCAGAACTGATTATTTACAAATCACTGTCAATAACTGGCATATTGTTGAGGGCAGAGTTCAGCAACAAACAAACTATAAACTGTATCCAGGTATTCTCTCTCCCTTCATTGTACAGCAGGTGAAAAGAAACTCCGGTATCACACCATTTGTCTACACATGTGTTACATAATCCACATAAAACTATATCTAAGTCAAAACAAAATCAGTTTGGTTTACAGTAACAACTCAAAAGCAAATAAATTCAATTAGATCCACTGTGGGAGATGATTTACATTTGCAACAATCTCAAATAGAAAACAAATATTTTTGGGGGGTTTGTTTGGCACAAGCATGATTTTCAATGTCTTGTTTTGTTTGTT